CCCCACAATCCTTTCTTTTTTGGCGAATTGCTTCACGCAAACGTCTCATAACGCCCAAATAATACTCCTTATTAACTGTCTGACCTTCTGACAAAAATTCGTGATGTACCGTTGTAATCCATAAAAACGTGAGCATCGCTTTCTTTTTCGACTGAAAACGACGTGGTTTTTTTTGGTCTTGGCTCATTTGGAGCTCTCCATTCACTCGCCTGATATCTGGATTGCGTGTCGTACTCATAAACCCACGTCTCGTCTCCAGTAATGATGCGTTTGATGAATGTTGGGTCGGATTCAGTCTTGGAAATCATGTCTTTGGCGATGTCAACGCGGTCCCTTTTTTGCATGAAATTCAGTTCCTTCGGGACCAACTTTGCAGCAACACGGCGCAAACCCAAATCATTAACTACAATGTCCTGAACGGATCCATAAGCAATGTTTAAGTCCTCTGCCAGCTCTCTGATAGTTAATTTGCGGTTATTGGCCAACATTTCTCTCACTTTATTGATGTTTTCGTCGGTTTTCGATGTCGACGGCCTGCCACTGCGTTCGTTATTCTCGACGGATTCACGACCACTTCTGAAGCGTTCATGCCACTCGTAAACGGTTGTTTTCTTTAGAACATCACTGTCGAAACAGTTTCCCAACATTTCCAAGGTTTTCGCACCATTGAATCCATTTTTAACGCAAAATTTAATACAAACTCGTTGTTGCAAATTCAACTCCATTTTTAAAACTGTAAAAAATCGAAAACACGCGCAGAGGTAGATGTACTCAAGACGGCGTAATTTTTACAAATGTCAAGCTATAGCGATAAAATTTGATGGAAATGTCAATAATAGATGTGGCAACCTAGCCAAAAAAAAGAACTCAAATCAGCTGACTCAGAGCATCACCTGGTGGTCTCTTCCGGAAACTTTTTGATCAAGCTGGTATATTCGCCAGGCCGATACGGATACATCCAGTCACCTTGAAAGCTTTCCGCTTCGCACAGAAGATAGTAAAAGCAGCCGAATTAATGAGCCAGTAGGAACAGTATAAGAATGAGATTCGGCACACGAAATTTGGATAAACCGTGCGCGGTTCCATCATGTAATAATAATTATACACCCGGTAGATTTTGTGGAACCTGGGAAATCTCAGCATTGGATTGCTGCCAAGAATTATCTGGAGTAAATCGAGTGGCAGTAGCGTGATTAGATGAAGGAGGTTTTGAGGTAGTGACCAGCAAGCATCTGATTATTATAAACCATGAAGCCCAGTAACCTGGATGGTTTACACATCAGGTTCTTTCGTTCGCTAGACCCTTCTGTAGTTCAGGGTTTTGTGCAGGCTTTCTGTAGTAGAGGTCCCTTCTGTAGACCAGGCCTTTCTATGATGCAGGGCTCTTCTGTAGGTCAGACTCTTCCGTAAAGTAAATCCTTCTGTGGAATAGGATCTTTCTGTGGATTGATTCTCTTCCGTGACTGGTTTTATTTATAATATCTTGTAAGCGTGCATGCGTGTATGTGTAATAATGAGACAATACCGAGTCTCTAGATTTTTATATTAATATTATTAGGTACGGTAGGAAGTCTGGGAGATTGAGGAATTGTAATGCATAATGATACAGGGTCCTTTCGTGGGTTTTTCTGTGGTATAAAGCTTTTCTGTAATCCAGATCCTTTTGTGATAAAAGGCCTTTCTATGGGCTGAGTTCTTTCGTATTACAGGTTCCTGCTGTAGGTCAGGCTTTTCCGTGGGTGAAGTCCTTTAATAGGCCATGTTTTTTGTAGTGCAGGACTTTTCTGTGGTACAGAATTCTTCTGTAGTACTAAGCTCTTCTGCAGCCCAGGCCTTTCTGTGGGACAGGCCCTTTCTGTAGTACAGAATGTGATGCTGTATCTGTTCTTGTTCAAAAATTGATAAACTTTTTTGGAAGGTGCAGTTTTGTTCTCCGGAGTGTTGCAATATTGTATTATATTTGCCAAAGTGTGTGTCGATGCCAAAAAACATAATAAAATTAAAATACGACAAAACTTAGACAATTTACTTGAAATATTGTATTTGTTCGTTTTATGTGTTTCATCCAGGTAGAGCACTTCAAAGATTAATAAAAATATTTTTAAAAAATTTTGAATAAGGAATGCAGTTTTTCAATCCAATTGAATCTAATTGAATCCAATTGAATCCAATTAAATCCAAAAAATATATTCGCTATTTATATATAAAATACGCATTTGGATAGAAAAAAATTTCAATCCATTTTAAGTTAAAAATTTAATTATAAAAAATATCGATGTGAATTTAACATATCATGTATATGTAATTCAACATATATGTTTATGTAATTCTCACTGTGTTGGTGTTAATATTAACAATAATACGATGAGAATTACATGGACACTGCATGGTTAAACATGTAAAGGAGAGCGTTGCCTTTTTTTAAAAAATTACACTCCTTGATTTCGCTTTAGATTTTATAGGTCACATAACCTTTGGTTTTGTAGTTTTAAAGATAGCGATCTCGCTTCTCTTTTTCATCAACAATTTTTTTTTTCAAAACTACAAAACCAAACGTCATATGATCTGTAAAATCTAAAGCGAAATAAAAGGCGTGAGTTACACAAAATTAAAATCGTCTCTGGTTAATACACGTCGCTGCATTAGTAAAACAAAACGTTTATATAGCGAATAAGCGTTAACAATTAGAAAACGAGTAACGTTTTCTGTTCATCTATTATTATTATACTGCGAGTTTCTTAATAATTTTTAGAAGGCAACGTACTCTTATCAAATATACACAATGTATCTCTGATCTCATCAGTTTGCGCTTGATAAATAAAATAAAAGATATTTTTAAAAAGAGATTTAATCGGTCGATTTTATCAAATCTATTTTTAGTAGTTTTATTTAAAGACAAGCAAAGAGAGAAAAAAACGAAACTTATAAAGGATTGTATGTATTACATATTAAGCAATGTATTGCGACCTAGAAGAACTGATATATATAATACAATAAATCAAATAAATGTTACGATGAATGTCAGCTCAATTAGAATTATTTTTCTTAGTTTCGTATCTTTACCTCTTTCAGTAAAGCCAAACGGAAAACTGATTAATAAAATTAAAACTACATATATACAGGGTGTTCCTTAAGTAAGGTCCGGGCCGCATTGGGGGCGTAAAATGAGTCAACCAGCCCTTATATCCGTATTCATAGTAAGGCCTTATATTTAAGGCTTCCTTAAATTTATCTTCAGTACTCTACGTATGAATTATTTCATTAGCTGTTGAGCATCTAAAGATAAATTTAAGAAAGCCTTAAGTACAAGGCCTATGAATATGGGTATTAGACTCCCCCCTTTCTCCTCTCTTCCTGTCGCACCCCTCTTCTCGGCCGTGCGCAGCTCGGTCTGCAGTGACTCGGCTCGGCTTGGGTTGTGTACGATCATGTGATCAAAATTGACACTTGATATTCGTCAATTTGATCACGTGATCTTTTTTGTCGCTGAAACGGCCGGTTGGAACAGCTTATGAAAATGTACCTGACTGTTTTACATGCCTACCAACAGTCGATGTCGAGGCGCAGCTTTTTCACCATATATTGGGTCATCTAAAAAGTATCCGCGGTACTTTGTCACTAGATATACGACCATCAACACACATCTAGTGACAAAAAACCGCGGATACTTTTTAGATGACCCAATAAAATATCTGCGCAATGATATCGACAACTATGGGTAAGAGTGTAAAGACTGTTAGGGTGAAATCACACGGTGTGGAAAAGAGCTGCGAAATAGAGAATGCGTTATTGAAACAACCAATTAGCACTATTCGGAATAACGCAAGAAGAAACGCTGATTGGTTGCTTCTATGACGCGGTAATTTCACTCTTAAGAGCTCCGCACAATAAAAGGAACAGGAAACAAAGAACAGAGAATAAGAATTTCAACCTATCAGAAACTGTGTATTCCACAATACATGATTTTTGATAGGTTGAAATTCTTATTCTCTGTTCTCTGTTCCTTTTACAGAATAGAGGCCCAGTAATCAGGGCCGTTAATCACCGAAGAAGAAGAAGATACAAATTTACTAAAAGGACTGATAAAATAAGGTAATTATTTAAAATATCCCCTCCCTCACTTCAAATCTTAATAAAAATTATAAAATTATATACATTTATTCGACGTGTTTTCACTCAAAACGGAAGAATCTGGCAAAAAAACGCGGTGGTTGATCTCATGAATAGAGTTATTAAGCTAAAGGTTCAAAAACTTTAGAGGTTAAGATATCTGTCATTCCGACTCGATACAATATTATGTATACGTTTTGCTTTAATTACACAAATTCGCTTTTTTAAAAACACATTCACTGCTTTAAAAACACAAATTCACCGCTTTAAAAATATAAATTCATTGGTTTAAGTACACAAATTCTTTGCATTAACAGTGAATTAGTGTTTGTGAAGCAGAGAATTTGTGTTTTTAAAGTAATGAAAGTAGTCAATTTGTGTTTTTAAAGAAGTGAATTTGTATTTTTGAAGCAGTAAATGTGCTTTTAAAACAATGAATTTGTGTAATTAATACAGAACGTATACATAGCGTTATATTGAGTCGGGATGACAGATATCTTAACCTCTAAAGTCTCCAACTTTAACGCTTACTAACTCGATTCATGAGGCTAACCGCCGCGTTTTTTTTGCCAGATTCTTTTGTTTTGAATGAAAACACGAATAAGAGTATTTTTATTATGATTTGAGGTGGGGGGGGGGCGTAATTATTCTAAGTAATTACCCAAAATAATATGATAAGAAATATAATAACTAGATGAGCTAAAGAAAGAATTCAAAAATAATAGGTTCTATGTCAAAGTATCCAAATATATCGCAAGAAGCGATAGGATGCATTAATTATTTCCTCCAACCCGAAACAAGAAGTAGGTACTTCATGAATGTTGAATATGACTGTAGGTTAGATTGTAGGTTTGTTTGTTTATTTGTTTTTTTAGATTAATTAATTAAAGCAAATCTTCATGCCATGGCTAGCTCATCGTTTTCGTCGTCTATGCAATCCTACAGTGAACCATTTACACAGGAACAAGAAATGATACTTTACAAAGGCATAAAGATGGTCAGTGTTATTTTTGAATAGACTAGAAAGTATATTAGCATCCTGTGTTAAAGATGTTTTGAATCTGTTGCAGCATCTGCAAGAAATTCAAATAGTTACTCAAGATATTAATCAGCAATTCAAAAATATTCAAGAAGAAATGCTTGTCACAGCAGCTTTGATAAATGCGATTGAATCAAAAAACCAAGGAAATTAATTAGGATTAATACATTTGCAAAAATAAAAATATGGCAGTATATCTTAGGAATGTAAAAAGTATCACTTGTCGAATTTATAACTTCTCAAACTGCAATGCAAACAATATTACCAAAGTATCTAAAGATCTATGATATGATATTGAGATTCGAAAGCCTTGTGCTACAAAAACACAATTCCTCGATGAAAATAATTTTCTTGTAATTTTGTAATAATACAAGAATAATTTATAATACTTCTGCAAAAGTACATTTAATGGAAAAAAATGATCTTTCATTAAGTACTTCATATTATCTGCAATATTATCTGCATTTTGAAAATTGAATTTTATATCAATTGATTAAAATTTTATAATTAAACATAAAACAAAGAAAATTAGAATAAAAGTTAATTCTAATTTTTTTCAACTCCTTTCAGCATGAAAAATAGAATGATTGGATTGAGATAAAAAAAGAAATTCGACCGTACTGAAATTGATCGTTATTTTAATATTAAGAATCTGCGAATTTATGATGTTATGAAATTTTCTTATTGATTCTTTATCTTTTATAATATTTTTCCCTCTACTCATGCAGCTTGTTATCTCTTCCAAGAAGAAACCTTTTTAATAAATAACCTTGTATAAATATTGATAGAAAACTGTCATGCTTGGTCACTCATGCAATACTTGGCACACTTGTGAAAACAAAGATGTAATTTTTTTTAGTGTATAAATAAACAGTACAAATAAAAAATCGAGAAAAACATCTTGCGAGACGTATCGTGTTGCAATTGCAGAACACATCCTTGCACTTAATACACAGTTATTAAAATTTTTAGTTAACAATGTTGCGCCTGTTTGTATTTCTGGTCTTCTCTTTCTGGCTCAGGTAAGAAACATACACTTATTGATTTTATTTTTGTATCTTTTGCACAACAAAGAGGATTTTAGTCTCATCGCGATAAAAAATGTTTTGTGAATAAAATTTAAAAAGTATGAGAAAAAAGAGTAAAAGATCTATATAGAAAGTACAATTTTAAGGTAGGCTTTTTATAAATAACTATACTTTATACTATACTAAAACTTATTTCTGAAGATAATTTGCATTAATATTCATTATTATTATTCTATCCTCATGTATTATATTACATTGATGCTTTATTGACAATAAATATAGAATTTCTTATCAATAGGCCAAATTATATTTTTGTTTCTTTTAATTTAACGATAATTCGGAATTATCAATTGTAGGACTTTTTACAAACTTTTTAATCAAGCTCAGGAAAATATGATATTAAATATAGATAAATTAAAGATAAATTATAATTAAATACAAAAATAGATCAAAGGTAAATTATATTTTTTTTAATTTTTCGTTGTACTAAATAATTTTTTTGCAATATATTGAATATTAGTATTATCGCGTTTCTTATTACATAATAAGTTTATGTGCGCAATCTACTTATTTTCTTGAGATAAGAATTGCATCGTGCAACATTATCAATTTACTGACATTTGTACGATATACGAACCTATATAACATGTATGTATTTTGCTGCCACCAATAAGCATTGAGCCAATAAACATTAACATTAGAACTTATCTTCGCGATAATAGTGTGAGGTGCCGACGATGGAATCTATTTTTAAGTATTTTTAGCGCGCAGTTTCAAGTCACTTCTTCACTTTTTACATCTGTAAATCGAAGACAAATCGGTGAATATAGGTCGAAATTATCGATTTTTAAAAAAACATCTGTGAAAGAACAAGAAACATTTGTGATCGTTAATATTTGTATTGAAAGTTTCATAGAGATTTGTTGCTCCAATTGAGGTTTGAAGTTTGAACTCCAATCTATTGTTTTTACTTAGGACGAGCATGGCTGCGATCGCGCAAGAATCCATTACAACTACAACGTGGGGTTCTGTAAATGGTCAGGAAATCAAGAAATTTACGTTGAGAAATAAAGCTTGTCAAGAAGTCGATGTCATAACGTATGGTGCGGTGGTAACCGCTATTAGAACGCCAGATAGAGAAGGAAACCTAACGGACGTCGTCCTCGGCTTTGATAATATCGAAGGTATTCTTATAATTTTTATTTGCTTATATGAATAAATATTTAATAAGATACTCGCTCTATTACATAGATTTTATCATTGCTTGGCCTGTTCTTAAAGATATAAAAATTAAAATAAAATTATAACAAAATATATTTACTGGTAACAGAATTAATATAATAATTTTAGGGACTATAATTATAGAATATAATAAATGAAAATAGTTATACAATGTAAAAAATACATTATGTCTCATCGAGGAGACATCGTTTTATTTCTTTTCTCTATTTTCATGTATTGTTTCTATTTTCAACTGACTGTACTTGAAACACAGGTTATTTTTTGACTTAAGAAACTTTGGATTTTTACATTTAAAGACCGGATTCATTTCATGCGTCCTTACCTCAAATCTAAGGACATTTAAGCTTATCATTTTGCTACTATTGACATAGCATTTCAATGATTGACTGCAAGTAGCTATTATTATGCGTATGTTTTTTTCCGATATACATTATAATTGTGAACATTATGATATTCTTTTTTCATGTTACCAGCATCATTTTAGAGAGCAAAATAGAAAATTTATTATGTTTTGTTTTTACCGATTATAATAAATATGTATATTTAACATTGAAAATGATCCGAGTGTGATCATTTGTTTGCTGCTAGCATATTAGATTAAATTTTTACTTAACAATATATTTGTTTCTTTTATTTTCGTTCAACTTCTATATTGCGACGGTTTATTTTATTTTATATAATTTCGGCTCGTAGCCCCTTTTTTTGGGGGTTTTTTTTAAATTATGAGCAATATTACTAATAGATAATAAAAATACATTAATTTAAAATATCAATAATATTTTAAAGCGTGAAATATATTTCCGCAGTTTTATAATAGTTAATATGCTTAACATAAAAATAGTTTTATATACAAAAATTCATAAAGATGTAAATTAAAGTTGTGAAGAACAAGATCATTTCGAATGAGAAAAATAATATTTCAGGATACCTTTCATCGAATAATCCATACTTTGGTGCCACAATTGGACGAGTCGCAAATCGCATCGGCAAAGCAACTTTTGTTGTGGATGGCCAACGTTATAACATATCCAAAAATAATGGTGAGAACAGCCTCCACGGTGGTACTCATGGTTGGAGTTCTAAGATATGGGATGCAACAATTCAGAACGATTGTGTGGTAATGACTTTGGACAGTCCGGACGGTGATGAAGGTTATCCAGGATCAGTCACAGCGATAGCGAGCTTCCAACTGACGAACGATGGAGAGTTGCGCATAGAGATGAAAGCCCATTCCAAAAAGGCGACGCCGATTAATTTAACGAATCACAGCTACTTCAATCTCGCTGGACATGTATGTAGTATATTTCTTTCTGATTTGACGCAGAAAGTATTTATATTTTCGAAAAAGACAAAGAAATTACAAGACAATTTCTAATGCATATTATAATGCATATTGAACGAAAGAAATAAATTAAAAAAAGAACAAGTTAGAAAGAACAGTTCTAATGAACGCAGTCGTTTTATCGGAGAATTATGGGAGAAATATTACATATTTCTACAATGGGTCGTTAATAAATCAGAAGTCATGAGCGGGTTGTGAGCGAATCAATAGTGCTCATCTTATAAGAAAATAGTGATAGATTTAATTTAATTCCATTTGTAATTGTTATATCACAGATACAATAATGTCATTACTAGACAACTAATTGATCGATCGCGTCGAAAGTCTTGTGGATTATTATTCATTTTGTTTTTCAGGCCACAAATGCATCAGAACTATATAAACATGTGATCACTATGAATGCCGATCACTGGACTGTCACGGATTCCGAAAGCATTCCGACTGGTGAGATTCGATCAGTTGCAAACAGCATAATGAATCTAACGAACCCAACAAAGTTCGGTGATGTCATCGATAAAGTACCGAACGGCGGTTATGACAATAATTTCTGCTTGCCGAAATCATTCAATGATGGGAAAGTCAATTTCGTAGCCAAAGTAGTGCATCCATCTTCAGGACGCCGGTTGGAAGTATATTCGAATCAACCGGGCGTTCAGCTTTACACGACCAATTCTGTACCTGAAAATGGCATCGTGGGCAAAGACGGAGCAAAGTACTTAAGACACGCCGCTTTTTGCTTGGAAACGCAAAATTATCCTGATGCTGTAAACCATAAAAACTTTCCAAACAGCGTGCTGCGACCAGGCAATACATACAATCATGTTGTCTTGTACAAATTTGGAGTAGAAAATTAATTTCCATTTCTCTGCTATAAATTTTGAAAAATTAAACAAATATTAAATAATAATTAATCTTTTACCGCGTTAATCCATAATTGCAATCAGGATTGGTAAATAATGCGTTATTTGTAACATCATTACTGTTACAAGTTACTTTTTTCGGTAACAAATGGATAATGGACAATGTTATATTTTTGGGGTAACAATAACGATTATTTCTAGCCATGTAAAAGTTTAGTCGTAACTAGACTATATATATCTATATGTATATGTACATGTATCAGTTTTTGAGCTTTATTCCTTTACTAGAATTTTGAATTTACTAGAATTAGAACTTCCCTTCATATTTACTGCAAAAATCTATATATAAAATGATGTTTTTTATTGACAGAACTAGTATGCACTTAGTGCATTATAAAGCCATTGTGCACAAATCAACACAAAGATGTATGTTTAATAAAAATATAGAAACGAATTAAACCATAAAATCCTCAATCCATTTGTACAACGGCTTTAATGTGTACCGAATTCTGCTAATGAAAAATGCTATAATGTTCCATTAGTGTCAAAAAAAAAGTAAAGACTCATTATATTTTGATAACTATATAAAAAAAGATAAACATCTATATTTATATTGTTAAACTTAATAAACTTTTATAATATTAACTAACATTTTATTCAGACTTTCTGTAATTATTTTCCATATCGAAATTATAATAAAATGCACACCTAATTAGACAACGACGGCGAAAGATTAACTTCTAAAGGATTGTGTTTCTTTTTGATAGTTGAGGCATCTATATTTTCTAATAGCCTTTCTTGCCGTTGCTGTGTGATAGGTTTTGCCGCTGGTGTATAACGGTCAGATATCCATCCCTCTACATTATATCCAATAAATCCAATAATACCCACAATAGGAAGTGTAATGTATTTACCGAATCTACCCATAGATCTCACTATCAAGGGCCACATTTTCTTAGTGGGAGCTGAAATGGAAGCAAAATTATTCCAGTACATTTCCAAAAACCATGATAAATACAAAATTTACAAGAATACACATTATATCAACATATACAAAAATATATATTATATAAATACAATTATGGTAATTATACAGAATAAGTGTCGCAGCTTAAAAATCAATAAAATTAGGCTTATTCGACGTATTTTTGCACATGAAAGAATCTCGTAAAAAAAAAGTCGCTCTACCCCGTGAACCGAGATATTAAACGTTATGCTGATTCTACATCAATAATGAGTTGGTAGTTGATAGTCCTACATCTTATTAGTGAAGATGACTAATAGCCAACTTGTACAATCGACATTGATTAGTCAATTTCATCGATTAAGACTAAGGGGCTCTGCACAATAAAAGAAACAGGGAATAGAGAATAGAGAATAAGAATTTCAACCCATCAGAAACTGTGTATTCCACAATACATTTCTGATAAGTTGAAATTCTATTCTCTGTTCCTTGTTCCTTTTAACAATCCTAAGACTTCCGACTACAGACTCATTGTAGAATCAGCATAAAAGTTGACGACTATTGAGGAAAATTGTCACAGAGGCAAAATGAAGTCTATAATTGTACTGTTCTACATGGGTTTCAACTTTTCACGCGAAGCGACTCTCACCCTCCCTCCTCCTGCAAAGGGGTGCACTTCTATAAATGTACTGTTGTGTCGAAGTTAAAAAAAGAGTCTGTCATGTAGATAGTGGAGTGTATAGAATTTATTGGTTCGGGGCGGCGTAACCTCATTTTGCCTGCAATAGATTTTCTAACCTCAATAGTTGTCAATTTTAACGCTTAATATCTCGGGAGGCAAAGCGATACTTTTTTCTGCCAGATTTTTTCGTTTCATATAAAAATGCATCGAATAAGCCTAATTTTATTAATTTTTAAGCTGCAGCACTTATTCTGTATAATTATCGTAATCATATATGAACATTAAAAAAAAAATGTTATAATATATAAAAATTCATAAATGATATTTGTAAACAAGAAGGGAAACAATTATTAAATTCAAATGCAAGAACAAGTCTCTAAATACTTTAAATTTTCAACTGCGAATATACTTACACAATTATTTTGCAAGTTAAGTAAACATTTTTGTAAACAAGCTAGCCAACTTGTAATGTGGAATTTATTCTCAAACTCCCTAAAACTTGATCAAGCGATTGACCATTTCAGAATTGCCATCCTCAAAATTAAAAACATCCTAATTTTCTGCAAATTATACTTTATTTGTGTAAAACATGATACTTTAAATTAATAATTAAGTTATATTTTGAATAAAAATGATTATGCGACATAACAAATATACAATATATTACAATACATCATCTTCACAGATACTAGATTCTGTTTTGCAGTTGGCAATCTTGAAATTTAATTGTTCTCATGGTCCTTTTCATCACAGTTCCACGTTCCACGTTCCACGTTTCACAGTTCTTTGTAGGCATTTGTGAGTTGTATGTGACTTTGCTGTTAATTGATCTATACGATTAATAACAATTAATTAATAATGCCTGCAACGAACAACGAAGACGATCCGTACGCACACGTTGCGAAAGGTACCCTAAAATTGAAAAACGAACAAATAATGAGCAAAAAGTAAGTACTTCATTCATTTAATGTTCTTGGTCGAATGAGGTTAAGTTTATCGTGGATTGTTCACTTTTGTGTTTGTGTCGCGTAATTTTTTTTAATAAATAACTGCTGTTTTTTTCTTTCTATTGTAATAAATTAATCAAATTATGTGTATCATTTTTGTTTTATAGGAAAAAGGATAAGGACGGAAAAAAGAAGAAGCTAGTGGAAGTGTCAAAAATCATTGAGGAGGAAAAACCTCAAACAGTAGAAGTGAAGCGGACGAAAGCAGAGCTGGCTTTTCAAAAAATGCAAGAGAAAATGGTAAGCACATGTAGTCTATTTAAACACATCTATATGATGACATCAAATAAAAAAAAAGCTTGACACTAATAAAATTCGTTTTTTTGCAATAAATTGCAGCAAACTGAAAGGATTAAGCAGAAAGCTTCCAAGACACATAAACAACGAGTGGAAGAATTTAATCGACACCTGGATAGCTTAACTGAACACTTCGACATACCTAAAGTGAGCTGGACGAAATAAACTGCAATGTTATTTAAGAAATTTATTTATATTCTAATGTATTGTATACATAATATAAACAATAGTTTTAGTTTTAGTTAAAAATATAAACACATATATAATCATAACATTTTAATCTTTAAATATCTTCAAATAATTTTTATTCTTTTTATATATTTTTTCTGCTATGAAAAAATTAACTTAAATGTGAATTATTCTAACAATAAATTTTTAAGTTTTAAGAAACTATGAAGAGAGAAATTTGGTATACATTTGTATAACTTTGATGCAATTATTTAAAGATTAAATGAATTCTCTTTTTTGTAAATATCATATGATAAATTAAATAATAAAAGTTATTAAATATTACAAGAAATTGTATTTATTTTATAAATCGTATAAAATATCCTTAGAATCCTCTATAACTTTTCAATGACTAAAGATATCATTTTACAATAGTCAAGAGTTAAAATAGGCTCCTTGATATACATTTAATAAGAGATACATTTAATATTCTATTTCTAAACATAATTAAAATAATAAAATATTTATTATTATTAGTTACTATACTTAATTTGAAAATATATTGTTCTATCAGGCAGTAAAAACATTTAAGATAAAAATAATATCAAAAAATATTTAGAATAATATTCTGGAATTAAATTGTCTCTATAAATGGTTCGATTTTTATACATACAAATATAATAAAATGGACGCAATAAATGTGTAAAACAGAATGTAGCCATTCTTTGTAATTCTCGTAGACGAACTTTCGATATATTAATATATCTCATATTACGTATTATCTACTTATATAAAATTAGAATATGAATAAAATTTAAGGCACGTGTAACTACATAATTACAATATGGACGGAATGCTGGCGCGATGCAAATTATCGTGAGAATAGTTTACGAGCACATACATGTGATATTTCTGATATGAAATTTTTATCGCGGCATCGAAAGAATTAATAAACGATTTCGTTCTTTCCTGTGTAAAGAATTATTTACATGTTAAAGCATAGTACTGCTATTAATGATATGACAAGCAAGAACGAAAAGCAGTTGTTTGTATTGCCGCCACTACCAAAATGGAAGATCCTTATCGTGTCCTCCGTTCCCTCCCAGGGATTGCTTCCGTCATCAAAGTACATCGGACACCGATCACGTTCTCGCTCGTATTCCTGTTAAAGAATCATACATGAATGAGTATAGTTTCACTTAGAATTTACATCTTATTTGAAATGGCATTTATTCTCACTTGTAACTCCAGCGCGACTGATGCGCCTTCTGTAAAATTTTGACTTGTTACATCTTGTTTGAGATCGCAAAATGGACCGATGGCCTGAGACATAAGCACTCTATTCAAATCAGCCCTCTGATATACCCAACAACGATATTTGCTGTAAGGATCCAATTCGCTAAATGTTATTAAATATGATTTTAAGTTTTCTTTCCAAAATCCAATACATATCATCGTATAATCAGGATCACCTGTAAAAATAATAATATTGTACAGCTATATAAGATAGGTGGACATACAAAATATCAATAAAACTCACTATAAATATCAACCGGTTTTCCTAAGTGATCCACAGACAAGCAGTACGTTTCATCAATGGCGATCTCCTTTTGATCGTTATCGCAAACCGAAAAATCGGATATATTCTGTTTGCAATAAATATTTGGTCGCGGAGATTTAGTGACGCCTCCTATAATTCTAGTCTCAAATAGAACATCTCCTTTTTGATGGAACATAAATTTACCAGCTATCGGACAGCGTACAGGAACGGGATTTTTTGCTAATAAAATTAAGAAGAAATTAAAATTAATACAATGTGATTGATTACTCTATAATACAACTCGTATTCATAGATCGAGATTCACAGTCCGTTCTCATTTCAAAATTATTTCAAATAATATCTTAAGATATTAATATGGCTCTGTGATTGACATCTTAAGATTGTAATTGAGACTATACTTAAGATTTTAAGTATAGTATAAGAACTGATTAAGAATACTGACCATAATACGTTCTTATTTCAAAATCCTAAATAATGTCTTAAAATGCTAATACGGCTTTGTAATTGATTTATGTCATTCTATGGCTATACTTAAGATCTTGCAATTAAGAACCAACTATGAATATCGGTCAAACGTTAACTTTATGATTATACCTAAAAATAGATCGTATTTCCACGCTTCCTTGTTAGGAAATTGCACCCAAGAACACACCGTATGGAAATCATCTTTTATCACAGCAATTCCACGTCTGTATCGGATAATATTATGATGTCGCCGCACGAGATCGAAACAAACATAATCTTTTTGGCTGTAAATGTATCTCAATTAACATCTAAATATGTATCTTTATAATATATGTAAAAAAATTTTAATAAATTCGCTGAATTTTATGTCAATAAAAAAGATTTTTCTTACAAATAATCTTGTAAACATACCATCCATCAACGGTTAATCTCGCCATCATTACTCTTGAATCTCTTTGTTCACGACAAACGTAAACTGTTCGTCGAAAACGCGCCACATCAGGATACCAAGTTTCAATAATGTGCGTTTCATTAATAAAAATATCTGCGTCGATATTGGCAGTGTTTATCCAATCTCCGGACATATCCTCAGGTAATCGACAACCGGGTTCAACTACTTCAGCCTTAACTGGCGTGATCCGCAAACGTTCAGGACTTTTTTCGACAGTATTGAGAGTATTACATTCAGCGGTTATCGAAACACCGATGTACAAATCGTCATCACGATTCTTTAAGAAGCATCTATACTTTTCATCCTTCCGTGATTCCTTGGTATTTGCTACAGCGAAGAAATGATTCTTATCGACGAACCAATCGCCCAAGCAACTGTATTCTACCACTGAAAAAAAAAACGGCATTTGTATATTGTAATATCCAAATGTATATAAAGACATACTTCAAAAGTTTAGAAGCATTTATCAAAAGGAAAAAAAGAGTCTATTTACATCCGTCGTTGGTATTTTCCATTCCAGGACAGTGTTTGTAAGTGATATTAAATTTTTGATTGGTTATAAGAAACTGGGATCCCGCTGTCTGACAAGATCTGATTTGTGCGTCTGGATGATTGCATTCTCCCGTAAATCTAAAGCGATTCTAAAATAATAATGATAATATATAAATAAGCATTTTTGTTATACAATAAAGGCATAAATAATTCTATAATTATCGATTATCTTACTTGATAAGCAAACTGCCAAACTCCTTCCAGAGAAGATCTGCAATTCACAGGCACGTAATTCTCAGAGAATAATGTTATCAAGTATTGATTCGCATTTAAACCTGTACAGACGTTACCCACAGTGGGTTCTACTCCAAAGGGCAAATTCACACAAGTCACTGCAACAAGATATTATAATTGAATAACATACTCGTGGATTATATATTTATATATTGCTATATAATTTTTTTAACTGGAGTAACAATGTACTAATGATATAAACAATGTCAATGCAATAAGTGCCAAAGACTGTGATAAGTAGATGAATTATGTAATAAAAAAAAGTAGATGTGCAAAACAATGTAGATAAAAGAAGCCTTACTGTGAAAAATAAACTTTAATTAGCAATTTTATATAATAAGTATACTGTTCTCATATAAACAAAAAAATTTGATATATTCCTGAAGTTAAATTTCTCAATTGTACGAATACTTTTTGTACATCAAATAATACAATTTTTTATTTTCGCTCATTTTTAAGATAATATATTTTAATACATATCTCGTTTTAAATAAAATAATTTTAACAAATATAATACAATCTATTTTATTCTTCGTTAATAAATTGCTAATTAATATTTACTTATTAAAAATGAAGTCTCTTTAAAAGATATCTTCTTTGCATGAATACTTTTTGCTTCATTACTTTTTGCTATATCTGTAATTTTTTTAAATTAACAGATCCATTCGTCACTTGCCTTCCAACTTTTCCAAAACATTTAATGTTCTGACAAGCAGTTTTACACAGTGATAACAGCTTTTATGCAAATCTCGAAACACGAATGTATAATTAACATGATATTCTTCCAACATGTTTACACATATGCCTCGTCCAGTCATACTGTTAGCATTTATTTCTGTTACGGTACTCTTGGATTCCCATGAAAACCAAGATCCCCTGATAATTAGTGGAATTTGACAGCCCCTCTGACCTGCAACTATTAGATAATATTTTATTAGCATTAATATATGCAATTATACTGTTTCATCTGTATAATCTATTATTTATTAATAAACATATGTACACATAAATTTTACTGTATAAAATAATTACTCAAATTTTTAATGAATTCAGTAAAACATACATGAAATCTTTCAAATTTACTCCAACTTGGGCTCACTTCGAATTAAAATATAAAAGTATAACTTAGGAATAAACAAAATGTAAATATAACACGACGAGATATTAAGTTTTTAAACTTAATTAAGTGGAAAAATATCGTAAGTTAATTTCAGTTTATGCTTGCACATACAGTATAATACTTGACTTCACTTCGTAGAAATTTATAAAAACTTACCATACCATACAAGGCATGTTACGAGAGAGAATATACATAACCAGCATTTCATCGTACTATATCATTTGAAGGGACGATATATAAAGTAAAAAATTCGATTGTTGTGGTTGTAAGTTGTGATGATCAATGAATTTGAGGCAAACCTAAAACACACGCCCAGTATTATTAAGCGCAGTTTTAAAGTTACTTCAAGTTCTGACGTTACTTCAAGCGCGTTCTCATCGACACCATGCTACACTCTTCTGTACTTTGTTGTGATAGAGAGTAAAAAAAATATAATAAAAGAAAAACGGCTTACTCCAGAGTGGGAGATGGAAAAGGCTTAGGATTAAATTCTTTTTTCTATCGATATTTTTCTCTTTCGCAGGATAGATTTAAATAATTTCATATTTTATATTCAATAATCTATAAATGTTTCAGTAATGCAAGAATAGAGGAGTAGTGCGGGTAATTTAATTCGATGTGAAATAATGCTGACATCACTAATCGAGTTGTTAAGTGCAGCTGATTCATTCATATTTATCGTATAAAAATTATATTTTTTGAAATGTATTTAGTTGGATTGACTGGTGGCATTGCCACTGGAAAAAGCACAGTTGCTGCTGTTTTTCGGGAGCATGGCATCCCTGTCATAGATGCCGATGTAATTGCTCGGAAAGGTTAGAATGTATTGTACTTTACCCTGTCCGCCATCGACAGATATATAAATATATAAATATATATATTATACAAGATAGTCGTATTTATTTCTAAATGTTATTACATACATATTTTTATTTATCAACATGAAATCTATTTAACACTGTAAATTGTAGTTGCATAATGGCAAGCAAATGTCAAGTTTGACTGTACAGTAATTGTATAATTGAAATATTAATAAGCTGTAAGATAAAATTTGCCAAGAATTTAAAGTATTTACTGATAAATCAATTACAACATCAAATATTTGTTGTGCAATGTCAAAAAATGGTGTTTATGTTTCCAGTTGTTGAGCCAGGAAAACCAGCATGGCATAAAATACAAGAGGAATTTGGTCCAGATGTATTTTTGGATACTGAACATTTGGATAGAATGAAACTTGGAGATTTAATATTTAACGATGTTGAAAAGAGAAAAAAACTCAATGCTATAACGCATCCTGATATATACAAAGAAATATACTGGCAGACTATTAAATACTTTTTACAAGGTCATCCGTTTATAGTTATGGATCTACCGTTGCTTTTTGAGACAGGACACATGTTGAACTACTTGTACAAAATTATAGTTGTAACATGGTACGTATGGATTTTAATTGATACAATGAGATACTCTTAAAGAATGTGACAAAAATTCGTATAACACTCTGATTTAATTACTTGAAATTAATAAAGAAAGGCAGCTAACTTGTAAAATAAAAAAAAAACCCTATTAAGGAACACAGAGTGCATAATGCATAAGAATAACTAATCGAAATTCTTAATTTCTTTCCTTTTCATCAAATAAAAAATTGATTGATTTTCTTATGCTCTGTGCAAAGGTCATGCTCCGTCTTTAAATTTTCTTTTCTTTCGATATCAGTTAATTTTTTTTTAAAGTTATAAATCACCCTGTGTTTTTAATTTTTTATTCTAACCGATTTTAAATACAATCTAACCAATTTGCTCCAGTTTTATTTTTAAAGAATTGTCCACAATTGATGGCCTTAAAAGTATTATCAGTGTTTTAGCTAAAATAATATCTTCTAAGTTGAAAGAATATATGAAAAGAATTTTGTGATTTTTTAAGTATTTACAAATTGATCCTTTATGACTTATGGCTTTTAGTGAAGAAGACCTTCAGCTACAACGATTAATGGAACGCACTGGATTTACAGAAGCTAAAGCGAAATTAAGAATAGCTGCGCAAATGTCCTTGGAAAAAAAAGCAGAGATGGCAAATTTTGTAATTGAGAATTCGGGCAGTGCAAGAGATACAAGGGAACAGACCGTGAAAGTAATTAATGTATTACGATCCTCCAAGCATCATTGGAAATTGCGTCTTTTAGTCGGGTTTTGTTGTACTGTACTGTTAGCTGGCGCGTATTGGTTAAAGAATAGAAGTTCGAAATCTCTATCTACTGCAACATGAAATTTTCTATCAAAATTATTTAGTTCAAAAACAAACATTCTCTGTAAATCGTAGTCATGTGATAAAACCAAGTATGATTTTTGTTAACTTTTTTATACAGCAGCATTCGCACAATTGAAATTTTCATAAAACATAATTAATTATTAAGACGAAAATTAAGTCGTCTATCTTAATGTATACATTTATACAGATTGCAATTACATTTGTTGAACGAATCATTCAGCAGAGAAAGCAACTTTACAACTATTGTAAAATTCTTTAATATGATTGATCTTGCCCTTAGTTTCTCTTTTAATGGATCTAAATAAACCAGTCATGTTGCAGAATTTTATTACAATTGCTAAGTTGCTTTCTCTGTTGAATGTAGCCATTATGTTGTGTAATAAATTTAATTTTTTTTATTCTATAGATAAAAGATTTCTATGCAAGTATACTATGATGCACAGGCTGCAATTATATTCTATTACAAATAATTGTTCTTGTATAAAATAAAATTTGAATTGCAACATAATAGAACTAATGATGGGATAAAGGGATATGTAAAGAATTATGTATACGTGAACGGAACGTATGATATGTGTTATGTATGTATATTTTATGCAATAAAAAATCCATATTGTAGAGTATATAAACCAGAACTTGATATGATAAAATAAAATAAACATAAAACAAATAGCGAATTCGATCGGATGCACGCAGTACGCACTGGTGCACGTTAAAACCGTCGTACACAAAATAACTTAAAGATATGTTCATACATAATATAGAAATCGATTAAATTTTGAGTTAATCAATACATTTTATTGTACTATTAGATAAAATATGTATTTTATAATTCGAAATATTTGCATTTCACTTTTATTCTTCTTTAAGTGCCATACACTCAGGCGCTTCCCTCTCATATACCTTTACGCGCACATTGATTATATACAACATATATGGGGGGATTTACAGTTTAAACGCTGATTTCGAACGGCAAATTTTTAGTAGGGAGATTTCAAGTATACTACTCGATGGTATGCCGTTGCCTTCCGAGAGGAGCTACAAATGTATAAAAATTTTTCGGTTCTATCGAAGATCAAACCCGGGATTTTTCAGACCAGTGCGCTGTCTGCTACACTACACTCGCACTCTTCACTTTTATACTTAAATTAAATCAGTATACAACGGCTTTAATATTTTTATATATGAGTGCGCTTCCAATCGAATTTGCCAAAAGAGATACATAGTGAGCACTCGATCAAACAGCTCTAGTACAATTGTTATGATGATAATTAGCGCTACAAGGTACTTTTTCATCGTCTATAAAAATGCGATTGTAAATGAGTTGTATAATTAACAATGCATTTATCAAACTAGATGCAAATAGTTATGTAATGATAAATGTAAATAAAAACCGAGTAATATATACTACTGTTGTAGACTTTGTTAGACTTTTCTCTAAGATAGCATTCTTTAAAAAATTTTTTTATTTAATCGATAATGAAAAACTGAAATTTGCAACAACTTTGTTAGTCACATGGATATCTCGCGTTCGCAAGTATTTGAGGATAAAAATCACGTTCGTCTTTTCTTCTTTTTTAATAAAGTGCTTTTTAACATAAATTTATACGTAAAAGATTATACATTTGTATGCATATATAAAATACGCGAGTACATAGTGCTCAATTTCTTATGTTAACTATCGCAAAATATATACAAATGTCGAGTCATGATTAACAACATGATTTAAAATCAGATGCATACTCATTTGGTGTACAGCGCATTTTTTTACACACTGTAATTTCCTGTAATATCATGTGTATTTTATACATTCATATTGATATAAATGTAAATTTAAAATTACTTAATCATTCTAATAAAAAGCTGCTTGTTTAAGTAAATTATAGAAACTGGAAAGAATTCCATAAGTACTTAATTAAAATATTATTTAATGGAAATATATATATATATAAAACCAATTTTCTTAATTAAAGTAGAAGTACAAAATTACTCTTGGTAAATAAAGGGGCAATGGAATATGTTATGTACAATATCCCATACGGAATAGTAAGATTCTGCAAATCTGGACCAATAAAGCATGAACCTCTTCTCTATATTAGATATCTTTTTTTTTTAAATATATTACATTTATATTCTTTCTTCCAAGCTTCTTTGTACTTACGTTAACATATTATTTAAGAGATATCCCTTAATTATATTCCTTCATTTTACAATTTTTTCGTCGGTGCTCTGTCTGTTACTATTCTCCAATTTAGCTTTACACAGAGATGAGATTAATATGATACTACACATGATATATATAACGTAAATAAAAGAAAAGAGAACATATTAAAGGAACATAATGTCATGACGTAATTATACCTCGTAATTATAGATTGTCATTCCTGTTATTCTACAATTATACACACTTTGAACATATATATAGCTGTCGATCGACGATTGTTATTGCATAATTGTATATTATCGTATATTCTTATCGCGCTATTCACAGAGAGAAAGTAATTATATTTTACATATTCAAACATACACACGAAGAGATGAAAGAAAAATGATATAATCAAATAATGGTTTTAAATTAAACAATTGTTTTCTTTGATTCAATCTTTGCACAAATTAATAGAATGTAAAAAGATTTGGAAAAATAATAAATATTACATCAATACAAATGTATCTATTTACTACGGTGATACACTGCATCATCCCACAGCCGCTGATTTCTATCTTCTGTGTGTACTTTCAAATGTACTTGTAAGGGAAGTACAATTTCACATAGAGGAAGATGGATGCACATTATGATCCTTGATTCGCCTACATAGCCGAGTAGGTAGTATATCGTATGTGTACATAGATATCCTCTATCAGAAATAAAAGTTTTTCCTATTCTCATGACGCATTTATTGCAAGACAGGCCTAAGTTCTTGCGTCATAATAGGGTAAGAGACGAGAGGCGCGGTCGCACCAGATATCGACAAGGGTAAACTGGCGGGTTGTTGCGTGTTCGGTGGTTGTTGATTAGTTGCCTGAGGAGGCCCAGAGCCGCTCATCGAGATAGTTTGTTGAGCCATGGTGACGATCGGTGGTGGTATCGAAACTGGTGCCATAGAAACCGCCGCGATAGAGACGGGTGCTACGGTCGCGATGCTCACAGGAACGGTAGCCACACTGGCGGTGACTGTTCGGAGAGTACCCGCTGCCACGGCTGCGTTGACCATTTGTTGAGGTGTCGGAGCTTGCGACGGCGGAACCGTATTCGTAATCGTGACTGCCGGGACTGTTACAGCCGTTACGTTCGCGGTTCGCTTGCCTGACATCCTCAACTGGGCATTTTGGTCCAACAGAAACTCATTCGTCGCTGTCAAGTCGCTAACCTGGAGCAAGATAAAGCGTATACATAGTTAAAAGCAAAATCGATATTTCAAATGTATTTATCTTTTTCTTTCTTTTTTCTTTCTTTGATATACCTGCTTCTTTAACTCTTCTATTTTCTTTCTCAACAGTGCATTCTCATCCTCCAGTACAATGGCTCGTGCTTCATTACGCGGTATCACGGGATAATAATAACTTGGCGTGACTGTCGGTTGAGTCGCATGCTGCTGACCTACGATTGGAGAGGCTTCGAAGTGTACGACCGCTTCGCCCGATACTAATCGCCTCTTCGGCTCCGGCGGTCCGATGTAATCGGTTGGATGCGACGTGTTGTAACCACCGTTGTTAGCGATCAAATTGTTATGATGATCCTGCAGTTGCCAATGAAAGCTGCCATTCATGAAACAAAGAGAAAAGAGACAAAATTATTACAATGTTATAAGTTTCTACATAAGAGAAAAAAAAATCTATAGACTCAATTACGATGCTTACTTTCTATCCTCTTCGTATCTGCGTCCATCGCCACTGACACCACCGCCGTTGCTAGTGCCGTTGAAGTTGTGTTGCGGCCTGGACGCGTTATGAAGCGACGGCGACATTAGATTATGCTGCGGTTCTTCCTTTTTCATATGCCTGAACTTGCAATTCACCCTTTGGCAGCTGCCCTTCAGAAAATCCTTGCAAAACGGATCCGATTTATCATTGTTGCAGATCTTGGATCGATTGAGGACGTGAGGCGGCAGTTCACCGGTTGCCCTGAAACGCTTCTCCTCGCTCTCCGTGCAATGCAGGAACTTGCAGCCTGGCCAGCTACACTTGCCATTCTGGAAGTCATGGCAAAAGGTATATTCCTCTACGGGATCGTCCTCGGAACGTTCATGAAGGTACTTGCAACGCTTTCCGCGGTGACAGACATTTCTCAGAAAGTCTCGACAAATCCGATTAGCGGGATCGGTACTATCAGTCGCATTCAATCCGCCCGCCATCCCGATCGCCTGTTGATGCCCCGTTGATGTCCCTGATGTTTCGCTGCTTTCCAACTTTACCTTCAATTTTTTCATCACATTTCACCACAGGTGGCACATAGCGATCGCACGTCGGTGAGATTATCGTTGTACCCTTGATTGATCGACGAACTGGCTAAGCGTGGCTAATATGCGCGTCCCTGAATAAAAAAAAAAGAGATGATAGATTAAAGGTGTATAACGATATTATTAGCTTCCAGGAAGGAAACTTGTGTCACGCTAAATACGACGTACTTGTGATAAGCTAGTGATTTACATTTAAAATCACTATATTTTACTTTTTAATTTCTACAAACTGAAAGATGGATGTGGAATGGGTGTTGAGAGTACAAGAAGCTTGCCACAATCCTCTTTAATTAATTAAGTTAGTTTTTATTTCCCCTTTTCGTATGACTATTACATCGGTAGTAAGATTATATCAACATTATTATGTACAGTATTTTTTTTTATTTATCATATGTACTTTGATAATTTGATATATACGCTTGATCTGCCAAGAAAGTGAGCTCGCTTAAATGAGCGAGCGACCGACTTGCGGCGTTAACTTTTTTGGAAAATGTCACGTACACTCTAGTTCGCCGCGACACACAATGATCCGTTATCTAATGCGATATAGTAGACATGGCACTCTCTAAACTAAACTAACGAATTAAGAAAATACTGTCAATTTCCCATTATGTTTCGTATCAAAAGAATTAATATAGAAAACTACGATTATATTGGATCTTCTCGCTTTAAGACATTATTTAGACGATATCAAGGCCATTCCAAGGTAGGATCGATAGAACGGTTACTAAGTGCTGAGAAATTCACTTTCGAGAAGTAAATACATACGTATCTTATTAGTTCATTTAGGTCGCTCAAACAGATATGCTCTTGTGTGTCTATTGTCATGCTACCCAAATATTATACGTAAGAAGGAAAATTAAAGTACTATTATGCAACAAAGTTGGAGGGCCCAAGATTCGCCGCAAGACTAAGATCAAATTTTCGCTTGACAATGATGGATTTATGATCAGAAAAAAGACGCGAGATTAACGCAATATATATAATATACGCATGCTAATGTATATATAAACGTGACGATCAATTCTCTCTCTCTCTCTCTCTCTCTCTCACACACACACACTCATTCACTCACTCGCTCACTCACTCACTCACTCACTCACTCACTCACTCACTCACTCACTTACTCACTCACTCGCTCACTCACCTGCAAAGATCGTTCTCAATTTTTCAAATCGCCCTCAAGAAGAACTTAAAAAAGAAGCGTGTTACTTGATTCGAATGAGATGAGTACAATGAGTTATCGTTTCGCGCGCAAATTCGCTTTCTACAATTATTTATATACAAATGTATGTACGAAGAAAGTATGGAACAATTGAAAACGAGAATATGTGTGCGTGTGTGTTGTTTTTTTATTTTCAAAAAGAGTATTCTCGAAAAAATTCTAGTGAAGGCTACATATTTCAATCTTTAGAATACGCTATGGAAAAAACATATCATTTTTAAACAAATTAATATGCAACGGAAAAAAATATGTGATATATTATAAAATTGAGCCATATTATAAGATATGATACTCAGCAGCTTGGCAGCATGTTGAACATTTTACGTGGTATCGTGCCTACATTTTCTCCAATTACTTTTACTCTCCAGAGAGCGTAAGTCGAGCTTCTGTGTTCAAGATATACATACATATACATTCAATAAACAATTTTTTCCTCGTCTTTGATCTTGCTCCTCCCTTTTATAAGGCGTATTAACGCGACACATTCTATGCTTAACATCGCATTTTATTTAACGAGAAACTCCTTATCTTTAACCCCGAGATTCGATTCGGGAAATTAAACAAATATATATATATATATGTACACACAATTCTTAACGATTGTTTGTATAAAAAACATTAAATTGTGTTCGATATGGTCGTTTCCAAACGACGAAACGGATAAGCTTAACATAATTTACAATCAATTACAGTCGATATTGTAAAAGAATGAAGAGAAGTGGAAAGACTAAAACATTTGTCGTAGCGCGTGTTATATGTACAGAAAAGAATGTTTGATGGCAGGGGAGAGAGATGTGATTAGAATATTTTCTCCAACAGCATCCACACCAGCATGATCACGATAGGTGCCACGTAGTGTATTGGCACAGTATAAGTCGTACTGAGCAAATCACCGCACTGCGATTTGAGGGACATGTATTTCTTCGAAAGCTCCGCTTTCTCCTCGACGAACGCGTTGTATTTCTCTTTCACTATAACCAGTTCCTCGTTGACTTCCTGCATCCGTTGTGCCTCGTTCTTCGCGCGGTAATACAGCTCTTTCAGCCTGTCGATGACGATCTCGTTTGGCTCGCGAATCAGCCAATCCTTCAACTCCTCCAATTCACGTTGTACTATCTGCCGCGCCTCCAGGCTATCTTCGCCTCTTAACGAATCCAGAGAACCGATCAACGTCTGCAGGATGTAGTCCCTGGAATGAAAGGCTTGCTGTATGGTATCGTTCTTCGTAATAGGTTTTAAAGTCTTAACGTAATCTCCTTCCGCGCGTTCTTCACACTCTGGCACGATATTATTATCCTGTTGTTGATCTTTTTTGTCGACCTTATCTATCACAGGATCAACGATAGAACTGTCTAACGCATCCTCGGTATCTATAGAGACATCTACTCCCATCGAAATTTTCACTTCATCGTCTTTGGCAATTTGTTTTATTGGCTCGTGATATACTTCCGATTGTTGACCATTTTCAGTGTTTGCGAATCGCACCTCCATCTTGCAGGGCACAAATGTCTGCATGGACTCTTGTCCAACTGTGTCCAGCTCTTCCTTCTTATTCTCTATAACGCTCTTCTCACTTGTATCATCATTTGTAACACTACTCGCGTCATCGGTCGCTTCCGAGTTTGTGTCGGAGTCTCCGTTAGTATCGCCGTTGTCCAAATTGCCCAGATTTCCATTGACTAAAGTTCGCCTGGATAACGACGGTGGCAGAATATATTCCGTGAGACTATCGTCGGTTGTTTGCAGATCGTCCATCTGGTCTTTGGTAAAAGATAAATCGGACTTCAGCTTCGGATCGACATCTGACGAATTAAACTGATTATCTTGCTCGCTCTTGTTGAAGTAAAAATTAATTTCACTGTCCACATCCATATTATCGACATGAATGGAATTCAATTTGTTAAGGATAGCGTTTATGGCTTCTATGGGATCCTCGCCTTTCGAGTCAAAATTCTCACCGATCTCGAGCTTTAGATTCATATCTTGCAGAGTCTGCGCGTAATTTCTTAAAGCGGTGATTTGCTTATAGATATTGACGGAATCTAATCGCGAATCATGCAACTTCGCCCGCAGATTCTTCTCGATTTTTGACTGATCCTCGAGCCGTTTCGAGAGATCCCGTTTCTCTTGCTCCGCACTGAGCAGCACATCCTTCACCTTCTCCTCGCTTTCCATGAGCTTGTTGGTGGTCTCCTGGAGCTTCTTCTGCGCCTCCGCGTATTTCGCGCTGAGCTCCTGAAGCTCCGTTTGAGTATACTTGGCTACGTTATGCAAACTCTGACACTCCTCCTCCGTTTCGTTCAAACGTCCTTCCAACTGTACCAATCTCTGAGTAACCTCCAGTTTCTCCTGCAAGACCTTCTGCAACGCCTCCTTGGCAGCATTCTGATACTGCGCCTTTTCATCCTGAAGCTTCGCAAGCTCATTTCTGATCTTATCCTCAGTATAATTCTTCGAATACACTGTCAGTTGATTCTCCACAGTCATCACCCATGACAATAGACGATCCTCCGTGATCAATGCCTTCCACGATTGATTAGCGGCTTTCCGAGTATTCTCCACTAGCTGTTGCAAGTAGCCCAGTTTAGAATACAAGGCTTTCTCCCGTCTCGATGCCTCCTGCATTATCTGATTGAGCTTGTAAAGATCCTCCAGGGATACGTTCCCAGCGGGTGAGCTGACAGAAGTGCTGAGACTGGCTTTAGCCTCCTTTCCGTCTGGCAGATATAGCTTCAAGGTCGCGACTATACACCCGTGGGTGACCTTCTTCGTATTCTCCACAACGTCCACGCCAAATTGCACTATGTCCCCGGAGCATACCTCCTTGGGCGTTGATTCCAGCCCGGAAGCGCTGAGTCTCTGATTATTCACAAACGTGCCATTACTGCTGCACGTGTCCTGCAGGTAAAACTTACCAGAGGAGTACCAGAGTAGAGCGTGATTCCTGGACAACACCTTGCAATCGAAGATCGCGTTGTTCGTCGCAGCTCTCGCCCTGGCCACCGAACGGCCGATCTTCATCGGCTGTTCCAACGTCAATGTGCGCTCTAGGAAGGGATGGGAATTGTCCCGGCAGATCAGCACGCCTTTCGCGGTCATCTTTATGCTTGGATTTTTTAATATTGTATTTCTACGATAATTGTTATTGTTATGGTTGTTGTTCGGCGTGTTGTTGTTCTGACTCACATTGGAGTTGTTCTGCCCAGCGGGCGAACTGGCATTTTGTACCCAACCACCGCTGCTAGCTACAACCATAGCCGAGATGGATGGTAAATCCGAGCGAATTCGAGGAAGAGTCCCTTTCACGTACCGTAAATCGAGCCGTTGTAATTCCGTCGGTGGGAATTATCGAAAAATTATTAATCTCGAGATATATTGTAACCGACACTGTACGATAGAGCTAGGATCTGATGTAGCGAGATCTTCGCTTCGCTTCACGTCAAACGTGTATCGAATACGCGAGCACGTTTCTAAGAGCTCGGTCACGAGGATCCCGACGTGACCTTTCGGGATCTATCGGTCGACACGACGAGGCATGACGACATCGTATCCGTCATGTTTTTCTTCCTCAATGAAATATCACTTCACCGCCCGTCGCTCTCCCGCAGCACCTCCCTTATTTTCGTCGAGAAATTCTCACACTCCCTCTCTCTTCCTATCTCTTCTCTCCTTCTCTCCCTCTCTTCTTCCTCTTTCGATCAACGAATGGCTCGAACGCGGTGTTCCGGTTTCCAGAAACAGCCGTTCGGCGAATGTCGATCCGATCTCCAAGTCGACGTCGCGTCCGGCGAGCCTCCAGGATGAAAATAGGGTCAGCGAAAACACACACGTCTCACCGTCGCGACGTCGTCCTCTTCTCGCAGGCGTGAACGTGGGTTACGCTCTCCCGACCCGTGGCGATTCCGTTCACGCCAACCTGGCCCGTCGGTCGCGAGACCGGGACACGGCGGCGGCGGCGACGTTGCCGACGCGAGCGTGACGACCGGGGTGAATCAGTCACGTCACTACACCACCGACTTCTACCTTCGATACGAAAAATATCAAGCACGGACGACGTACAGACTCTGTGAAAATACAATGGTTCGCTGTTCCCCGTGTCCCGTGTTCGACAGACAGCCCCTCCGTTCCAGTTCCGTGTTCCACTGTTACCCCACACGCGAACCACGTGAGAGGGGAAGGGCGAGCGATGCGGAATAATCTACTTTACCTACCTAGCGTCAGCCATATGCGCTAACAGCCAAGATCCGGAGAAAAAAATAATATAATTATTAGAGCAGTCGTTCAAAGTGATGACGACATTTGTGATCAATCAAGAGATTGGCCTTGAATTTTATAAAGACGCTTTTATTAAGTCACTAATTTGCTTTAAGGAGATTCTCGCGCTACTTCCTAGTCAATAGACAAGTTTAATCATAATAATATGTAAAACAATAATTAAAATAATGGAATAAAAAGGTTACTAACAATATCTTATGCCATTATATACATAATTATTGTTAATTTTATTTATGTTATTAAATATTTTCAAAATGACAAAATAAAAGTTGTAAGTTTCCTCATTTGACGTACACGTATCGTCCATTTGACATATATTCTAGCTTTTTTCATTGAAGAAATATAAATTTCTTGTAAATTGTACGGTCAATTTTAAATGAAACTTTATGAGAACAAACTTAAGCGTTTATTTTATAATTATAATTATTTTTAAATTGCTGTTTCGAACGCAAGCGTTTCAATTTAAAAGAGAATAACTACAGGATAAGGTTATATCATCAATTTGTAATGTAAAATTCTATAAATTTATAATTAAATATCATCAAAATGGTAAAAAAAATCAAAGAAATTTTTTCTAGATATTATTGATATTATTAACTTTTGTTTAAATTACATGTATATTATAGATTTGTCTTATGTTTCATCCAATGCAAGAACCTCCTTAAATTATATTCAGCTGTTATTAGGTCTATTCGCGTTTCTTGTAATCTCCAAAAATTTTTGCATGTAAAGTCTAATAAATATATATTTAAGTGTTGAAAAGAGAATGCGAAGTGAAGAATGATGAATGCAAAAAGTAATATGAAGACCTAATATATATAATGTTACATTTGGGAATCGACTTTCTTAAAATTTGAAACGAGATGAAAAATTACAAAAGTGAGCAAATTCATTAAACTTAGTATAGGTTTGCTTTTGTCCCCTTTGCAACCGTTTTATTGACAATTGTATTTCTTGCTATGTATTTCTTGTTTTTTTCGAAGTTCGTTAATTTATCTCGAGCGACAAAAAACCGGATAAGAAGCAAAAAGACAAGTTGTAAAAAAATAGCAAAAAGTAAGAAACAGAAAACAAAAAGCACATTGTAGAATAGGCTTTAGAATATTTATAATTTCATTGGTCAACACATGATGAATTCATTCAATTTTGTAATTAGCATCTTGTTTCAAAGTACACAAGATACATTGAGTCTCTCTCTTTTTGCATCATAATTATAAGCTACCTAACATCTTTTATATGGAAGCTTATGTAACATATGTGTTCGTTATGTCGTGCAAAAAAACACCGCTGCGAAGTTGTGACAATAATTTTTAAATAAAAACAAATTATTGTAAATTATATATTTTTTCTTATAAAATGACTTCGTATATATTAATGCATGTATGTATAATATAAGCAAAAAAGAAATCATTCTCAGAATTAAAAAAAAATGCGCTAACGTTAATTATAAAAAAAGTTGTATAATAAATAGAACGATTTTTAATCGTATAATTTATTTCAATTTAAATTATTAAACTCAAGTTTTTCGTCAGAAAGAAAACAGCCTGAAAATTTACAGGAATCGACTTTTCCAACATAGAGAATATAACCTTTCAAGTTCAAGCATAACCTAAAAAAAAAAAAGAGCGCGTTGAACGTTGCGTCTTATAGAAAGAGTATTTTTACAAGCGAATATAAATATTCGAAAGCTTGGATCATCGACGTCATCGCAAGAGAATTTCTGAGGTGTTACATTTGTGATTAAGATAATAATCGCCATAACTGCATACATTTTGTGACAAAATCTATTATTCCATTTCCAGTGTTTCAGTACTTTCCTATAAATAATCAATTTCGCTTCAAACGATGTCAGACGATGAAGATTATATGTCTGATAAATTTTTACAAGATACCGAACGAAATGTTTCGTCGAGTCTTATATACAGACATTCTGATAAAAGAGAATTTGCATTAATGAAGAAAAAGGCTGAAATTCAATCTAGAAACAAGTCAATACATATAGTCGAAGCAGAAAAAAGGGAGGAAGGCTTGTCATCTGCTATTACTAGTGCAAATAAAGGTCTACATTTTGTACATATTATATGTAGGAATTGATTGTGTGTCACATGACTTGGTAAAAATTACGAAAGTAAGCAAATATATTAAAAATTGATCAATGAAGTTATAAATACTTTAATAAATTTATTCATTTTTATAATTTTCATCAAGTTGTGAAAAATACATAATCAAACAGATAAATTCACAATGTGATAAGAATGTAAAAAAAATGCTAATTTGGACTGTATGCTTATTAAACTGTAACAGAGTCTGGTAACAAGCAATTTTGTCAAAATCCTATGAGAAATATAGTATATACTTTTTTGTACAAATCATATAAAACAATATAGGATTTTAAAAACAATAAAATGATTAAAGGGCATATAAGAGTCGATTTAGCAATACTGAGTGTAAAAAAAAATTAAAATTATTAATTTATAATACTGAGTAATAATTTAATAATTTTTTTACACTCAGTATTATTAAATCTCTTATATGTCCTTTATAATAATTTTATTACTTCTAATATGAGAGTATACTGTTTTACTTATAATCTTAATTAAAGTTAAGTAATTAAGTAAAATAAAATGAGACAAGCATATGTAAAGTAGAAATAGTATATACATATACAGGGAATAAGATATATGTATCTTTCTCTCTTATAAGATTTTAATAAAATTTGCTTGTGGCCAGACTCTGTCATAGAGTCTCCAAATGGTAAATAATTATTTTATTTTTAGGTTTTGAAATGTTGATGAAAATGGGGTATAAACCTGGTCAAGGAATAGGCAAGACTCAATCAGGAATGACTGAACCAATTTCTGTGGAAGTGAAAGCGGATAGACAAGGTCTAGGCAAAACATTAAAGAAAGATACATACAAACCTAAAAATACAAATGCAAAATTAAATAATATGGATACCAGAGATTTCCGTAACAGGTTGGCTCAAGAAAAGACGGAACAGCTGCAGAAGATTGATTTATACAAAAGTCAAAAGGTGTGTCAAGAATTGGACACTAAAGAAAACGTCGAAAAACCCGAAGAGTCATGGTTTTGGGTAGAAAATAAAGAAGAAAAAAAAGATGATGACACTGATGACGATATCGAGGATGACCAAATTCTCAGTAATTTAGAAAAACTTGACATTCTTACTAAATATTTAAGAAAAAAATACTTTTACTGTATCTGGTGCGGAACGAAATTCAACGACGAAGATGATTTAAGAGATAATTGTCCGGGAAGTACAAGAAACGATCATTGAGTACGTTAAATAGAATATTATATTTATAATTACTTAAATAATATTATATTTATATTATATTAGAAAAGTGATATCAATAAATTTTGGACATCACTAAAAACATTCTCCAATCTTGTCGAGCGTGTAAGTCAAAACATGATAAACACACAAACAAAAGAATCCTAAGTAAAATTACATTACTTAAATATATGGTCAATTCCATTATGTGATATGCGAGACATAAAAACCCCATTAGCGGATATAATGCAAAACATTGAAAAAGCAATATTCGAGAGGACGAGAAAAAATCGAGTACTGAGCAACTACTACGAACAAGAGAGTTTTTACTTCCTCACCCTTTTTCGATTGAACTATGCTATTAAAGCAGCAGGGGATCATTACGACCTTTGGCTTTTATAGACTACGAGGAAGAGGGGTGAAAAATTACCTATAAAAGCATCTGTTTGATTCTTTCTTCTTTCATTTTACCTGGAAACTTGTACGGTGTTTGTTTGTTTGTTAAATATATCAATAAAAACAATATAATGTTGGTAGTTCCAAAGTCTCTGCTAGTTCTCGTGGTTTATGTTACAATCAGCGATGCTGAAATAACCGAAATAGATGACGAAAGTTGCGAGACTTTACAATCGGAAATACGTATCACTAAAGACGAATATGATGAATTAGCACATCTGAGAAGAACATGCAGCGGTGATGTATCGGTCACGAAATGCGAAGGATTCTGTAACTCGCAAGTACAGCCAAGCGTCGTCACTACTACAGGCTTCTCAAAAGTATAGTATCATGTAGCATCTCGCGCATGGGAAGACGTATGAGAAATATATTGCTTTTAATTATCTTGTTTTTGTAACACATACAGGAGTGCTACTGTTGCCGTGAGAGTTATCTGAAGGAAAGATTTGTTATCCTAAATCATTGCTACGACACGCATGGGATCAAATTGATAGGCACGGATGACGAGGCAATGGAAATTAAGATACAAGAACCCGCCGAATGTAAATGTATAAAGTGCGGCGATTTCGCGAGATAAGACAGCAACAACTTGAAATATAAATTATACATTTTCTCAGCAGTGAAATTGCAACAATTATATATAACAATTATATCAGATAGAAAAGAAATTATTATATTGTAATGACGGTAAAAATAAATAGTATTTCCGATGCATTTATGTGATGTGAATCTATTTGTAACCCCAATTATACAGTTCTTCTAAAATATATGAATATGCACATTTTTATATGTGATGATAAATACAAAACTCCTCAAAAGTTAATTTTCTTTAAATATATTTATACATACATGTATATAATTTAATCTTGTATATCGTTGTACACTTTAAGATAAATATACATCATTTAAATAAAAATTTAATATACTTTAATATACTTTAATATACTTTAATATACTTTCACAATTCTTTATTTACGTACCTGTTATATGTATAGAGTATTTGTTACATATAAGACCCGTATTCATTTATAATGTTAGAGTGCATTTAGCATATAGTTCACGTTATATTGTATTATTGGGATTTCAGAAATAAAAGCGTGCATTTATAAATATATAAAAGCATGTTCTGAATACTATAATATATAAATATTGAATCCAAAAATAACAATTTTCCTTTAATAAAAACGCTAGCGCACGTCATAAATAATATAAATTTACATTTTTAAGCGATTAAACTTTTTGAGTTTTCACTTCTTAACCTTTTTATGCTGACGCTCATTTTCAGTGTCAAAATAAGTCACGTTGACGCTTAATATTCGTTAATTTCTATCACGTGATTTATTTTGACGTCAAAAATGAGCATCGAGCGTCAGCTATTAAAGGTGCCATGAAAAGGTACCTTTAGTAGTTAAAGTTAAAAGAAAAATTTAGAAAATTGGGAAAAAGAAAATTGTTTCAGTTTTCGATACAAGATATTTCACTTTAAAATATTTATTATGTATTATAATATAAGAAAAAGCTTTATTAATAGTGCAGCGGAATAAATTTAATTACTTTATAATATAATTTCACAATATAAATCTAGTCCATCCGTTAGTTTGTCCGAATGTCCGTCCACAATATTTCTTAGAAGCGGTTCAATTTTTTCTGTTCAAAATTTTGTTTTCGATAATAGATACTTAAGCAACTTAAGGAATCAAAACAAAGTGACATGAGTCAAATCAGTTGACCATAATAGGGTCAAAAATCAAAATTAATAAGATTTTTAATAATATAGGTAAAATTAAACGGCTTAACTGTTTCAAAGTCTGTCTTATTTCAGCATTTTTATTAAATTATACACATGTATGTGTAAGTGCTATAGTAAATTTTCTACAATATATTCATAGTTTAGTCTGTCATTATATATTATTGCTTAAAGCAATAAGATATTATAAATGCTTTATTTTAATCTTACAAATTTAATCTCACAAAGCTTTTAATTTTCGAAATTTTAAACACCTTCAAAAAACTTAGTCCAAAATCAAAATATTGTTGCAACAAAATTAAATAGAAATACATTTAAGAGAATTAAGATATTGATTTAATTATTCTTTTTTAAATATTCTTTTTTAATTATTCTTTTTTTTAATTTTTTTTTAAATATTCTTATTTAAATATTCTTCAAACTAAATATATGTATATGGAAATATTTTACATAACAATATTTGACCTTCTCTATTATTTATAAATTCTTATCTTGGCTACTGAAAATTTACATAATTTTTAAATTATGTGCACAAAATTGTGCAAATATTTGATCATGAGTGAATACAATTATTTTTACCACATAAGAATATTACATATTAGGTGTTGGAATTAATTCGTAGCGTTTTTTAATGAAAGAATGTTATTTATTTCACATGAGCATTAAAAAATACATTAATGAAAGTACTTCCCATACTTGTAAAACGCTACGAATTAATTCCAACACCTAATATATATAATAATTTTTAAATAAAATTATGAAATAAAATTTAATTAACAAGCTCTAGTTCAAGTACTGTATATATAAATTTAGCGAACATGTAGGAAGCATTTTCTCATGTACGTTCTTTATACATTTATATACATAGATTTTCTAATATATAACACTTAACACTGCTAAAATATAGTAGAAGAAAGGGAAAAATATGACCACCTATGGTGTATAAAAGCTTGCGACATAAGACTTATAAGCACAGTAAGGTGCCAGGAAGAAAAGGCAATGTACCGTTTGAGAAGCAAGCTCTTTCGTTACTTTGGTAAATAAGCTAACAGTATATTTGCAAAATAAAATTAATTTCCTCAGTTGTATTTCTTGCAAATTGCAAGTAAAATAGATGTTATAATAATACAGTATTTTTGTACTTACCATACACAGTGATCAATGGATTGCTGATATGCTTGTTGTATGGAGCTACAGAAGCAATTGTTGGAGTCGATGAGTGTCAGGCGACGCGTGTGATTCACTTCCTTCAGTATCCAGGCTGTGTTCCAAAGCCGATTCCCAGTTATGCGTGTAGAGGACGATGCAGTAGTTATCTGCAGGTAAGAAACATTAAGACTAGTACCGACTCATAGTCGGTAGTTCTTATTTCAAGCCCGTTTAAGTAATATCTTAAGATTTAAATATTGGCTTATGTATAATTAGAGAGACAATATTTTTCACAATAAATTATTTAAATGATTTTGAAGATGCTTGTTAACATCAATAACATTAAATTGCTTATCAATTTAATTTGTAGTACTATTGCAGTTTAGGATTACATTTAAAAACTGGTAAATAATTGGCATACAGTTTGTTTGAATTGTAAATCCTATAAATTCATAAAAACTATTATCAAGAAAAATTGCCTTAATTAAATATATTGTTTTTCACTTATGTATATAATAATTAAAGATGTTATTAGTCACAGAATTGTATTAGCATCTTAATACATTATTTAAATCAATCTTAAGATAAGAACAGATTATGAATCCAAACCAAAATATATTAGTGAATCTCTCAAAGCACACACGAAATATGGGGTCAGTGAGCTCTATAATATATTGAAGCAAGCCATTGGTGTTTCAATTCTTAAACACTCTGATGTAAAGATTGTACTGTTTTCTTTGTCCGCTGATTGACTATTTATTGATTTACTTATAAATGGGAGAAAGATAAATATTTGTTTGCATTCCTTTTTTGAATCGAAATAGTTTTCTATAGTGTTCTTTAGTGTAGGAAAAGCACGCTCCAGTACATAGAACTCACAGGGTGTCTTTTATTTGGGCTGTATTCTGAGATAAGACTGGAGTACAAATCTTCACATAATTCATAAAGCATAAGAGAATTGACCAATCAGAGTCTTTCCTCTTCAAAGACCTCCTCTCTGACCAGTTGATTTTCTATGCTTTATGCATCATGCAAAGATCCATACTCCAGCTCATACACTATCAACATTATATTTAAATAGACAATCTACAGTTCATGTTACATATATTATAAATCTTTTTTATTGTATATATGCAAGCTTTATGTCTGTTTCTACCAATGCAAATTAACTTTAAACTCGATTTAACTTCGTTCTTTTCTTTCCAATTTTAAGAATTAGGAAAAGATGAAGAATAAGTTGAATCAAGATTAAAGTTGATCAACATTCCATCTTTCTTGGCATTCCATGAATAATAGAATAATACTTGTGCAAACTTGTGTTACTAAAATAAAAAGTATCCAATGTTTATCTTAACTAATACCCAGTTCTATGAATAACGATACAATGCATGAGCAAAAGATCCATATTTAAAAATAATGAACGTGCTATCATATTTAATACTCACAAAATACTCTGAGACATAATATCCTGCATAAACATTTCCAAAACTATACAAAGACACATTCTCTAAATTTTAACACTACAAGCAGGAGTCTCGTGCGTTCTGTAGAAAATGTATGAGCGCATAAAACAAAAACACTAAAAATATATAAGTTGAGTCGTGGCCTAATCTGATACTACGAAACACTTGCAATTATTATGACTGACGTATGACATAGTCCCTTATCTCCTTTTTATCTCTCTCGCTCTATCTCTTGTAACACAAACGAGAGAGAGAGAGAGAGAGAGAGAGAGAGAGAGAGAAAACGTGTACGATAAACGTGCGGCTTATTGATACACACAGGTGTCCGGGTCCAAAATGTGGCAAATGGAGAGGAGCTGCATGTGCTGTCAGGAAAGCGGCGAGAGAGAGGCTAGTGTCTCCTTGTTCTGTCCACGAGCGAAACCAGGGGAAAAGAAATTCAGGAAGGTGAGACCACCCTTGAATCGCGCGGCCGCCCTCGGACACGGCTCGGCCGGCGGCGGCGCGAACGTCAGCCGGGTCGTAAACAGGATCGCGTGAACGTGGACGCGGTCGAGTGCCGTATCCTCGCTCTTTCACCGATTACACGCCGATGGGATTCGCAGCAAAGCCATTTGACACCACGAGTTTCGCGCGGCCATATTGTTTTCGTGCGCAGCCGACCGAGGGTCCTAATTCTTTCCCGCGGTTCCTAGGGAATTCCTAACTATCATCGTTTAGATTTTCGGTTGGCTGTGCTTTTTGCGGAAGGATGGACAATCGAAACGAGTATTACGAAATTCTCTAGGATAACAAGGAAAAAAAATCAATTTTTTATCGTTTCTAAGGAATTTTGAAAAATTCATTTCGATTATCTATCCTTCGATTCTTTCGTGGGAAGGACAATAAATAATAATTAATTCATTATATAATTTTTATTAATTTTATTAATAATTATATTAATATAATATTATTGTTAGTATATTATTATTAATAATACAATTTTATTTTAATTTTATATAAATGGCTATAAAGACTTTAACTTTAACTTTAGGCTTATACGAATAACATGTCACTTAAACTATTTAAAAACTTCTCGATAAAATAAGATCGATTATTACCTCTTTTTGCTTAAAGTATGTATTTTCCGGGATACCGGAATTATTCCGCAAATTAAGATTCGAAAAATCAAGTTGGAATCCTGGTTGATATTTTTTCTTGTAGATTAATAAGATACTCATTAGCAATATTAAATTTTACATTAATTCTTGCATGTAACTTTACCTCTGTCTGTACACTAGATGGTCACCAAGGCGCCGCTGGATTGCATGTGCAGACCGTGCACCAGCGTGGAAGAGTACGCGATAATACCTCAGGAGATCGCGGGATTCGCTGACGAGGGTCCTTTCACGACATCTGCGCATTTCAGACGAGCCTCCGGCTTACAATAGATGAACATGACTGTTCGCAAGGACGCAATCTCAAAAAATCGCGCATGCTAAGACGAAAAGATGCCAATATATTTGATTTCGCGCATATTATGTATTATGAAAACTAATAAAGAAAATCTAATATGTTCGATCTCTCTCGAATTGAATATAAATGTATACGTATGAATATAAATTAATACGAGATGTACAGCAGATTTAAACGCGTACAATATACATGTGCGCATAGCCCTTCCCTCCTATCCCTTTCGTGAAAATGTGAATAATAGATTCGATGAGCTTCGTTATTTTGTCATTTAAATTTGAATTATGATTGGTCCTATGCTTTAGTTGTCTACGATGATTTTCGTGCCGTGTTTTACAACTGCATTCTTCAACTGAGTTTACCTGAAGAAAGTGCGTTTGCAGTAATCTTCGAAAAGAATTGTCGCAAAAAAAAATTTTCTAATAAAAAGGTTCAGGAAGGGGTAGAATATATAGAAACGTTACAGATGAATACTGTAACTCGTATGTTTCAAACTAAGAAGAAATTATGAAACATTGCAGACTCTGTTAATATACTTAAATAATAATATATATATTTACATACAATATATAGGTATGCTCCATGTAATTTCAAGTCTGTAATCGATTCGTCCGTGTTTCGTATTTCGAAAATGGTAGATCGAAGGTTCTGACAGATGACGATTCCTTTTGAGAGACCAAAGCAAAGACTTCTGTATACTTTTGCAAAAGTATATCTCGTATATAGTCTGCGTCCATCCTCTATGAAATTCGCATTTTCCCGAGTGTGGATACCTTTTACAGGTGCGATAAATCGTGTGGTATCGGCACTTAACGATAGTTGCCGGATAAACATAATTCTTTGATAGCTGTACACGCACACATGCACACGGAAAATCAGTCTCTCCTATACGAGCACGTTCGAAACAAAGGCGAGCTCAACGCTGTACCTCAAATTAGTTTAATAACAATTTTATACAATTCGCTACAGCATTAGCCACGTGGATACATACCTATGTTCCCACGCGTCGCACTCTGTTCTCACTCTTTCTATCATTCTCTCATGTTTTCTCTCTCTCTCTTATTCCTTGTGATTATAAATAGCTAGTGTTAAAAAATAGTACCTTAATATATATATATATATATATATATATATATATATATGTATATGTATATATATATGTATATATGCACACCATTCATCTTTCATTTCCTAACTTCAATGTGTTCTAGATTACAGATCCTATCTTCGCAATATATATCCTTCACTTTCACTGTACTCTTGTATTTTTTTTTTCATGAATGTCCTTTCTTATAATATGATACATTATGAGTTCTTATTTGCAAAGATATAAATTAGTAATTCTGTTATATATACCGTATTCCGTTACAATAATAGGAAGAACCATATCGCTGTCAGTATCAGACTTGGTTTTATTTCGGTAGTTATCTTTTATTTTTCCTTACTTTCCGAATTTTTTATTCCACTTAAATTGACCTATACTCTCAGATTGCATATTCCGATCTGCAATTTGTTATCTAAATCGTGTAACAAGCACTTCGGTTTGTGATCTGCGACATTAGCGTTAATATAATTGGAAGTAACGTTTGGTCTTCCCGATTCCAAGCAATGGAAAAAAAGAGACGCATGTTCCGGTTCTATTGAGCGATCGACCTACTTCGCGCTGCAGAAACATTTTACATAAGAAACACGATAATAATTATTTTTCGAGCCACTTTTTTTTTGCTTTATTTAAACTTTGAACCATTTTATTGAATTATATATAATAATTATTTTGCATAGTTCTGTAATAATTAATAGTTAAACTTTATCTTCATTATGTATACTGTATTTCAAATACAGCTGTCGTTTGTTTATTTAGTCAACACTCTCACTTCTCTTTACTTATTGGTAGAGAGTCGTTGGAGTTATAGATTATATTACATACATCTCTGTCATTTCATTATTTTTCATTATTTCTTTCCTTCGATACTTGGAGCGTTCATGCGTTTTCAATGTTTATGAAAAAAAAACACAACAGTAATTTGATTTCGGGCGTTGTATTTTCCTTTCAACGAGGAAACGCATATTTAAGTCTTTTTAATAGACGATAATGCAATCGATCACAGTATCGTCAACAGCCCTGATTCGCACTAGTTGACAATTCCTCGACACTGGAATTATCGTCCGGTTCTTGTAAGTCGGTGAAAAATGACGTAAGAGTGACGAGTGAGACGCTATGGCCTTCGACATCAGGTCCTTCTGGCGCTTTCCGTTGCCATGCCAGGAACGCGTCGCTTGATATCACATTGTCCATCCACAATCGATTCATAATGGAAACAAGAGCACCTATAATTGAAAACACAAGAGAAAAACAATTTAAATTATCAATCTAAAAATGTTTAAAGTTATTATTTTCACAAGTCATATCAGAATCCTTTTGGCTTGACAACACAAAGATAATTTACATATTATATCTTTGCTCTAAACAAAATGTTATCATCATAAATTTCGTACAATTTGTCTTTATATCCATAGAAAAAAAATTTATATGTGCGTATATAAATTTTTATTTAGAAAGAAATATGTTAAGAAATAAAGCAAAACATCGATGTGATAATACATAAAAATATTTTCACATTTTATTTACCAGGTGGAAACTCGATAAGCATAATGTATCTTTGAATTGCATAAAGGCATTGCAATTCTAATTCTTCGTTCGCGTCCACAAACCGTTGAATCAACATTTGCAAACTAGTAAAAGATTCTACGTTCAGCTTCCAAGTACCATGATGTCGTTCTGCACATACAAAGAGAAAAACGATTTATAAAATATGAAAAACTTTATAGTAATTATTTTCACAAAAAAATCATATCAGTATCCTTTTGGCTTAACAACACAAAGAATAATTCACATATATCTTTACTCTAAAAAATAAGATTATCATCATGCTTTATTATGAAGTTAGACAAATCATGATTTTAAATATTTTGAAAAATACTGTATTATGATGTGTACCTAATGTAGCTTGTAAGATGGCAGTTATCAAATGTCTTATAAACTTGGGATCCTTCTCTCTATCACCAATATTTGCCTGAAACAATAAGTTGATTGTGAGAAAATTATCGATATAAATAGAACAGAGAACACATATGTCAATTTTACTATACTTACAGTTATCCAACTGCAAATTTCATCAAAAGAAGTATTTTCTTTCATGAGCCTTACAAGGGTTTCTTGAATTTTCTCCAACGAGAGTTGCTCGATAGTAGTGGAGTCTTTGGCACTATTATAATCACCAGTCAGAAACTCCAAATTCTAAAAGTAAGAATAATGAACCAATAAGATTATATGTGCATAAGACAAGATTACTACTTGGCTACACAAGTTGGAACAGCAAAGATATTGAATCTCAATTTTTCATTTATCTGATTTATCTTTAAGCTACCCAGTTCTTACAAACAAATGGCAACAATAACATGGGTAAGTTGAGAATAATAGAACGCTTAGATTAATACTGTATGTACCTACAAGAGAAAATGAAACATGGAAGAGAAAGCGATGCAATGTATACATACGTATTCTTGTATAATCTTCTCAGCATTTTCTCGTTCCGGATCAATTAATGTGTGTAGTTGTAGGTTGCTTTGGTACCACTTTTCGGCAACCCACTTACATCCTTTGTTACGAGATACTTTCGTTAGAAGTTCTCCAAGGAATTTTCCTACAAAGCCTTGCTTCCTCAAACTTTTACATGTACTCTCCAATTCAGATAATGTGACAGCTTCGTCCTCTATCGAATGTGCTGCAACACAGATTGCCATGCGTGTGAATCGATTTTAAATTAATAAGGCAAATTAATTATTATGTATATTTCTTCAGGCCTGTTGAGCTATTTATTACCCGCACGATATTTTTCTATGGCGTAAAATGTAATCGTCATCACAAAAGAAACATTTTAATCTCTATATTATCATTATATGGTTAATTTATAGAGATGCATGTATTACTTACACAGTATTTCAGCTATATAAGTCCAAATTTTCGGTATATCGATGACCAAATCATCTACTATTTCCAGCACTTCTCCTAATCTAAAACAAAATTTATTTGTATTTGCAACAGTTTTGGTGAAAAAACTTGGCATTGAAGATTAGCTTTATGCAAATAACATCAGATTTGGGGGGGATCTTCATTAACTCTGTTAAGGATTTTCATCACTAATTAATACATAATTTACTAACTTTATTTTTACTTTGCAATAATTCACTGTACAAACGAAGAAGTAACTTACCCATTCTTGAAACATTCCACAGGCAAAATATTTTTCCTAAGCAAATGGGATAACAATTTTGAGATCAGTTCTCGTTCAATGGGCGACTTTTCGAGAACGTGATTGATACATTCGCGTGTAAGTTTGGCAAATGTAGCGGTATCAAATTTCTGTTGAATCTCTAATGCCGTATTCTGCAAACAAAAATAAATATGCATTAACAATTGAATTCTCTGTTTCAGAATAATAATAAAAAAAATTTTTTTTTTAATATTTTGTTCTCTTTTTAGTTAATGTGAGTAGTATTGTGACGTTATCACAAGAAACTAAGAAGAAAGTATTGCCTATTATTGCACGCCAATGACTCAAACATCTCCTATTGAACCAGAGATAGATCTAAGGAGCGTGCGCTGTTTAATTGGAAGTATTTCTATCGCGTTGGAGTATATACATATATAAAAGTAATATATCGCAAGATCTCTTGTCAATATTTTGTTCTGGATCAATTAAGATATGTAATTGTAATTTATTTTGGTTTCATTTATCGGCAAGCCATAAAGCAATACAGCTAAATTATAATCTAAAAAGGATCTAAATTCGTAAATAGCAAATTTTAACAATGAAGGTTTGAACTGAAGTATTTATTATTTATTATTTATATTACAACAAAAGGACAAGGACTTTGAAATTGTTACACAGTTGGAGTAGTAAATCTAGAAATTAAAGCTTAATTTTTCGTTTGTGTACTATGTCTAAGCTATTCAGTTCTTACAATATTGGCAACAATAATATAGGTGTAAGCCGAGAAGATGTTTAGACTAATACTGTTCTATGACGGAAAATGAAGACATAGAAGAGGAAGTGATGCGTATACATATTCAATTTCAAGAGTACTTACGTCAATAATCGGCTCCTCCATATAATGTTTCAGTATAGAATTATAAGCCTTTGTAAATTCTTGCTCCGACATTGGAGCTTTGTGGCTGCTTATAGCTCCAGACTGAGAAGCAGACTTCACTACAGACGCAACCATCGGGACTTTCCGGCTTTGAGAACTATCAAGTAATGAATGACTTTCCCTGCTCGAAGCACTACCCGACTGATGAGTGCCGTTACGAGAGCTCCTACCATCTGTAAAAATAATAGATTTTTATATAAGAATTACTTGTTCAAAGGAAATGTTTAATAATATATTGTCACTTGAAGTAAGTTGCATATATTTTTGCATATAGGAAAACATACCATAAGACTTGTAATCCCGGCTGCTGCACTCTCTTGGACCAGTTGATCGTGATCTGAAATAATAGATAAAAATATATAAGCGATTGTTCAATATTTTTCTAAATGTTAATGTGTAATTTATAATATATCAGTATTAATTTGTGAAATCATTTAAGTTTTTAGAAGATTCAGAAACTCTAGTCTGTAATTATGTATCATCATAGAAAAGCGCGAAACATGAGATTAATAAACAGTCGCGGACAAAATCCAAATGTGTTTAAATGAAAAATCTAAAACTCACCCAGAGAGCGGTAAAGGTGGCATTCTTTTGTCCTGGTCTAAATTGGACATATTCTCTAAGCATGCAAATTTGTTGGAACTTATCGTCTTAGAGCTATTGGACGGGTTAGTATTCCTCCATAAATAAGACGCTCTGTTGCCAAGTTGCATGTCGTCCATTGGTGGCTGTTGAAAAATAATTTAAAATGTTAGTAAATTTCACTTTTGAAAATGGTTTTTTATTGTCATTTTTCCACAATGCTAATTGTTTTTCTTGTGTTGCTTACATTAAATTGTGAAACTATCAGCATAGGACATTATGTTTCGATAGTTGTTAAGCATGATTCCAAAAAATTATTTTTCACTTTTAATTTTACATATTTTATCATTTTAATTCTATGTTGAATACTTTTAACAAATGCATTGTTATCGAATAATTTTAGAAAAATTAAAAATTCAAAAGTACTATTTATATTAAATGAGCAATTATATTATTTATTAGATATGATGTATGTGTTTTTGATTAAGAAAAAACTTATAATTTATAAATTACAATATAAAATTTTATATATTTTTTGTGAAAATTGAATAAGATAAATGTCGATAGTTAGTGGATATGATTCAATTATTGCACAAAATGACAAAAATTTTAAATTTTAATATTAAGCTTTTAATAATATGATTAAATAAATTCGTTTATACAATAACAATTTATTTAGTCATATCATTAAAAGGTTAATATTTAACATTTTTGTCATTTTGTCCAATTAATTGGTACATTTATCTTACATTCCAAAATAATAGTACTAAAAATAAACATATTAATATGAACTTTAAATCTTTTATATTGTTAAACCGTGCAATATATCTGTTAATCTACAATCTATATTACGTATATCATAAATTTTTAATGTATATCGGAATGCGATTTATGTATATATTTTTGAATGTGTATGTTTTTTTATTTCAATTATTTTCTATCATTATTATCATACATTTTATATATATATAAAATAATGAGAAAAAATGGCATCATATTTCGTAGTGATTCTACAAAAAAAATCCTATTTAACATGATAATATAAACTCAAATAACTAACTGGTTTATTTTTCAATTTTGCAGTTTCCACTGAATATGTCGCAGGTCTTACTCTTCCTACTGGTTGACTCCAACCATCGTCAGTGGGACCACCTAGCCCACGATTTCTTTTCCTATCGTTATTACGATCGTCTTTTCGTGCAGTATTTAACGGAACGCTGTTCACTTGCATGTCTAGTCTTTCGGATTCCGCTTCCTTTTGAATTTGATCTATTGTTTTAGGATTGTTATCATTTCTTCTCGGAATCCATTTATTTGCTCTCAAATCGATAACATCTTGAAGCATAAAACGAATCCTAGAACTAATTTTGCTGTGGCCTTTTCGAGCAACAATCTCTTGCATTCTATTGAAGTATTCTTGCATTTCCTATTAGTAAAAAAAATAAATAAGAAATAAATTTAGATAATATATATTATCGTCAACTCGCACGTTTATGTTGAAATATTTCCAACATAAACGTTTCAATTAAACATGAATAATAAAAATAGCATTTTTACATCAGTATTAGCCTGCTGTCCTTTCAATTCCAAATCTTTGCCAATCGTTGTTAACAGTTTGCATAGACACTCCAAATTATCTTCATCGTTTTGGTCTAGTAGATGACGAATACATCGGTGCATAATTTTCGTTGTCAAAATCTGCTGTCTATACAGCTCGCCAATAAATCTAAACGAATAAGATATGTTTAAGAAAATTATAATTTGATAAGGATTTTATATCATATCATACAAAATCACAAATAATTATAAATATAATTATATTATATTATATTAATATATTATATAAATAATATTATATTTATACAATTCTATAAGACAATTCTAAACAAATTTTAATGACGTAAATATGTCAGATACAAAAAAAATTACCTGATATTTCCTACAGATTTAATTCGTATCCTACGCTCCTCTTCTTCAAGTGCCAACTGGAGTTCTTTCTTTTTCTCCTAATAAAAACAATAAAACAATAAGATATAAAAATCATAGTTTATTAGAGAAAAAAAAATTAAAAAACAAAATATATAATGCAAGATGCTTACCGAATCAATGCAATCGTCAATTTCTTTTAGCTTTCGGTTTCTCGCGACATCATCAATTGGATTCTTTTCGAATTCTTTTTGGCAACGTGTAATAATAAGTTTCTTGAAGCTAATGGAACTATCTTGACCTTCGTAGCCTGCAACTTCCATTTGGGCCAGTTCTTTGCACAACAACGCATACTCAACGGAAAAGCTGGGTTCGTCGACAGCTTTTTCAAAAACGAGATTAATGACTCCTTGTAGACGTTCTTGCGTATCAATCGGTAAACTTCGAACCTGTTCAACTAATGTGCTAAACTTTTGCGGAGTGAGTTTATTCAATACGCTTCGTACTCTTTTATAAAGGGCTTCCGTTTTCGCCTCTTCCTCAGTTTGATTAATCTGCTTTAATCTCGTCGGTTTCCATGCATTTTCTGTTTCCCTTAGCTTCACGTCCTCTCTTAATGACAATGAAAATGTTATTACATTTGGCTTATTCGGTTTTGGTTTACCCCGACTTTCACTCTTACGACTCGTTGGTGGCTGTAAAACAGAATTTAAAAAATCTCATATATATCATGTATCAAAGCTGAGACAATCAATAGAATAATATGAAAAAGAATAAACGTTTTAATCAGAATGGATTATTCGTCAAAAGATTTCAGATCACTACTTTCATTATGCGGCATCATTTATCTTGTCTTTCTTTTTTCTTTCGTATAATAAGAAATCATTGCAAGCGTTTTATTTTAATTTTACTTACCGGACGTGTACTCATATTTGCCTTTGCAAATCCTGGCATTAACGAATCATGTCTAGTAATATTAGCATCCTTAAAAGCCCTCAGATCCATAGTATTATGCGCATTCTGTAAAAATCAAACATGACATACGTTATAAAACAATAATTGTGTGTGCGTGCGTGTGCGTGCGTGTGTGTGTGTGTGTGTGTGTGTGTTGAAGCTTACGTGCATAAATTATATACACAAAGAAGTAACATGCTCGTACCTGTAAGCTATCTTTCAAAACAGCTTGTAAATTTGGTAGATTAGCTGGCTTTTGTTTACTGTTAGGATCAAACTGTAAACGTAACAGGAATTCCCGATCATAGGACTTCCTTCCACTCATATTAACCGGACTCCACTGGCCCTCTTTGTACAAATACTTGAGTAATGGAGGAGCCGTCTTATTAACGCTAGGTGCAGCAATTTCGGCCGGGGCATTACCACTATCACTGGAAACCTCGACTTCTTGCTTCTTCTCTGTAGTCACGGATGGAATCGTCGTCGCTTTTTCGTCGTTCGACGCATGAAGAGCCGACACCTTAAAGTTTTCTTCATTTTTTTGCGCGACCATTGCTTCCAAATGCATCTCTTCGATGACCGCCGCGTGATCGACGACGTCATTGGGATTTGTCGCAGGAAGAGCATTAAACGTACTATTTTCCGACTTTGTCGAGGATTCTTTACTGGTCGGAGGTTTTTCTACAACGTGAGGTGCCTGTTGCGCGGGAGTGCTGTCCTTAGACACCTCCGTGGATACATGTTTCTCGGTTTTCGCGTGAACCGGCAAAATCTCCTTTTCCTTCTTCGACTCATAACTGTCCTTTTCTTTGATGTCCTTGTTGATCTCTCTACTGGGTTCTTTATTACTGTCTTTCAGGGCGGGTGCGTGCTGCTCCTTGTTGTCTTGCTTGATCTCAGCTGTTTTCGCTGTTGATACGGTATTTACAAAGGCATCCATGTCCGTGCCTTCCTTCTCCGCGCCTTTGCGATTCAATTCGCGGAGTTTCACTTTATTTTTGCTTTTTTGTTTCTGCATAGCTTTACCTGAGGAACAGAAAAAGAAATACACTGGTGAGGCACGCTACGACTTATACTACGCTACGAAAACATGAATATCAAGGAGAAAAAGAGATCGCGTAATTTGGAGAAATGCAATACATTAGCTGCATTCAGCAGAAAAAGCAGCTTTCCAACTGCAGGATTTTTTAATATTCTCTAAATTCTTTGAAGTAAATGTCAAAGAGAGAAAATTGAGCCTGTCTTGAAAAAGAGTGAATCTAATTAAACAAGAGAAATCTTATATTCGGTCAAAACGGAGCTTAGTGCTTAAATATTTTGATAAGAATTTATCTATACATCCAATTCTGTAGACCGAAATAATTTTCGATCTCGAAATGTAATCATGAACAAAACTAGAATAGTAACATTGACAAGTAATTTAATAATTTTTTATGCTAACAAGCATTTTATAAGAATATTAATAATTTGATATTAATAAGATACTCTTAAAAACTGCAAATAATTTTTTAATGGTTCAATTTCCAATCATTAAGAGTGAGATTTCATTCTTTAGAGAGTAACAATTCACTCTAAAAGTTTAAGAGAGTGTGATTAAGGTCTTGTCCGCAGATCTTCGCTAGATCTAAACGTACAAACCACTCATATAAAAAAATCTTACGACAGTTACAAAGTTGCTTCCTACTAAACGCAGTCATTCACAATCGCTCCACCTATCTTATATTTATCTTATAATATATTTATTATCAATGATCGAATCAAAAGCTCGATCAAAAGCTCGAGAGAAAGGAAGGAAACAGCCATTCGCACTTGGTTCGTTTCCTTCGGCGAGCTTTCTTTCGAGGCAGGTAGCTGACTGAGTCTTTCTGGATTTTTAGGAGCATTCATTCAACGGGGAACGCTCTCGACGCGTATCGGCGTACGTGCCAAGTCCAGAACGGCGCGCGTACCGTGATCTCGGGATCCCCGTCGATTACGGCTTTTGGATCTCGTGCCGCTTCTGGCACGGCTGCCACCGCCGCCGTCACTTCTTCGGTCGCCCATGTTTCGCGTGAGCTGTATCGCGCGCGCACGTGCAACTCACATCTTCGGATGGCTCGAGTTTCCGATGGCCGCGCATACGAGCGCGCGGGGCACTGATTCAGTACTTATTTATAAATCTGCCAAATCCCTGCCAAACGCGGCGTAGATGCGACACGTAGACGCGACGATGCGCAACAACGACAACGAGAAGAATCGCATCATCGACAAGCTCATCGGTGCGACGAGATGGCGACGACGACGACAACGTCGTTATTGTTGCCGTCGATGAGCGAGCATATGATGTTGGTGATTTCCTTCTCGGTCGAGCACCGCGTTCAGAAGTCGACGGCGAAGTTGGATTGAAATGAATCGCCTTGAATTCGCGAGGTTTGGGCCTCTAGGTTTTGAAATTCGATCCGAGGAAACGTCGCCGCCGATGATAATCGACGACGATGATAATGATGAGGATAATGATGATTGATCCGCGCAACAAATCAACAGCGTCCGCGAACGATTGTCCCCGACTAAAAGACACTTTGGAAAATCCTCGGGCTTGGCCGGCCGCGACGCCCGACGACTTTCACGCATCTATTTTAACCTGTGAACTGGCGCAAACCAACAGGCACGACATAGGATTTCTTAAATTAGTTCCGTTCGGTCGGTTTGCGCCGGAGCAGGCGCACTGAGTGCAATTTCAACGGCTCGACCTAAAGCAGCGTCTACAATGAGATTTTAAGATGTAAAATTTCAGTTTTAAGCCTTAAAATATTGATCAATCGCAGTCGATTGTTTTCCTCACTTTCGGTTGCAATTGGTCAATTTCGTAAGTTTTAAGTCTTAAAATCTTATTGATGCCACTTGAAGCAGCGTCTGTAACGAGATTTTAAGACGTAAAATTTAAGTTTCAAGTCTTAAAAAATCGATCAGTCGATTCAGTCATTGTTCTCGCTTTCGACTGTGGTTGGTGAATTTCTCACGAATTGAATTTTGCTTACTGCACAGAAAAGATTATTCTTAAATCAAATAATATGTTCATATAAACAAAAATCTTGCTTTAAAGATTTTAGTATTGTTGTAAGATTTTGATTGAGTCTTGAATGCAAAATAATATTTGCATCAACACAAATTCAATCAAGCCTAAAATCTTTGCAACAAGATTACAAGATTACAATATTTAAAAATAGTTCCTTCCTGTGTTCAGACGCCGCTTAACTCAAATGTTCGTGTCCGCGCATAAATATCATCTGAAAAAATTCCTACATCCGCTCCCGTGTGTCATGATTTACTATCTCTCGGATGAAAAGAGCGTCTCCTTCCTCCCCACTCCGTCGAATCGGACGAGATTTAATTCAATTTAAATTATTGCAAGTGCAAAAGATGAGACCGCAGCAAAACTGTTATAAATCTGCCTGATAATATCGACCCCGAAAATTTTTTGGAATCAAATTAGAATCTGGTTCGATTTTCTTCAAAAGGACAAAAATTGCAGATTCTGAAGTTACAGGTTAGAAAATCTAAAAGAATCTCATTGGTTCCTCTCAACGTTTTTTCAAATTATTTTTCCAGGCTTATATTTTGTCAGAATTAAACAAAATATTAAAACACTTGACGATTTATACTTTAAAGTATATGTATATAAAATATTTAAGAAATTTAAATATCTGTTTAAAGTACATTATGAATACAAAATAATAGTGACATGATATGATTGACAGAAATATTAGGCAGATAAAAAAAAGAATAAGCGCGGATTAAATACAACAGCAAACGTGCCTTTTTCGATCGGTGGATCCTCTCGAAATGGCGAGTCTTAAACCGGCTAATTATCGTGGGCGATACGCGCATTCACCATCCTCGGTACCGGTCTTTAATTCGATTCTCGATGCATGAAAGTAGGTTGGTCGCGTTTTATAAAAGCTGGTCGTGGATCGCAAAACTCCGTCTTTCGTCTCTTCTTCTCTCTTTTACAATAAATGTACTTCAAATATTTTTTAATGTGTAGAATATTAAATTTATTTTTTTCTTCGAAACATTACATAGTATCTGTTCGTGTTGCTTGCACTTTTTGCACTCAGTATCTTTGCTTTCTCTCCCTCTCTTCAATGCACGAATATATACATACAGAAAAATCCATATTGTATACTAATAATAATTACTTGTTTCAAATATTGCCAAAGTTTATAAGTTCATATATCCGCAAATCTATCATTGAATTTATCACAAGCATCAAATTTATTCAAAATACTTACATTCTGAATCCTAAGTTTAATGCTTTAACCAAGAATATTAAATTAAATCGAATTGTTTACCATATAATATCGCTTCTTTGATCAATATTATATTTTTAAAAAGAAAATAAGTTCTCCAAACATTGAAAATTGAAAAATACATGACAAATAAACAGTTGACAATTAGTGCTGTAGACGGTGCGCAGTTTGCTTTGAAAGTTTTATTTCAAATAAAAAGAGTTAACAATTGTACATGTAGGTTGCTATTCTAGTTTGCTATCTTAGTTGCAGTTCAAACCAAAAGAAAAATAATTACAGTAAATTGTTATCCGGTCGAAATCATTGTGAGGCAGTGATCATTCTTTCATTATAGAGTAAAGTCTTCAGTTGAAACGATGGATGGTAGTGAATGATTAGGAATCCCACAATGATGTAACCGACGATTACAATAGTCGTTAAATATTTCATCTTAAAGTTAATAATCGCAATACAGATAATTACAAACGTAGTCAATGAATAAAAACATATCGAAATAAAAGAAACGGTGATCCATAACTGTCAAATTATGTTAATAATTGTAGATGAAAAAAATCAAGTTTGATACGAAATTAAAGCAGTGTTGGAATTCTATGAAGATTTTTGAAAAAGTGGCTCGATTTTTGATCTTTAAGAATAAGATTTACTCTAAACAATTTTGAAAGTATTCTCTCTTGTTTAACGTTTCAAAATTTATGAAGATATTAACGTGACTAGATTTTATGCTAAAATATTGAGTGTGCAACGAGAAAGTAAACATATTTCAAAGCATAAATCACAACACTTCATTGGCTATGATTGGCCAACGTCAATCATGATTGAAGATTATAAAATGGAGCATTGTCTAAACGATAGTCGCTAATCTCAATCGGTGACTGCTTTGCTCTGATAGGTTGAAAAGTAATAATAACCAATCGTGATTCAAACGGCAACCACTAGTGTGATTATCGCTTAAAAACGAGTCATTCATCATACCCTCTCTTACGAAGGAGATTCATTCGATCCCGTAGAGATAAATAAAAATCGAGAGACGATGAGAATCACAAACTCTGAAAACGCGATGACGCGGATTTTAGAAGGAAACGATATAATTAGATGGTGAGTTCGCGGAGGAAGCGATGAGGGAATCATCTATCGCTGTCGGACATCGACGGAGCTCAAAGAGCACATCGTGCCTCGACAACGGAAAAAGTTTCTCTCTCTTTCTCTACTCCGATACGTTTATCAATACGCCATTTCCAATGAAGTTGCTAAGAAATCATGATTTTTCTTCCTTCGAGGACGACGAAACGTCACATCTTTCTTGGATTAAAACGAACTCTTGCCTTCGTTTCTATCAATGTAGATTAACTTTAACTTTAATCTCCGTTGAACTTAACTCATTCATCTTTTTCTAGTTCTAAGTATATTAGAAAAAAATGAAGAGTAAGTTCAATCAGGATTAAAATTAATCTATGTTAGTAGAAACAGACATTAATGTCTCGAATGTCTAAGTGTTAAAAAAGACACATCTGAAATGTGCCTCAAACATCAGAGGCTAATACTACATTTCTCATACAACAAATTTTTCAAGCGTATTAATTAATTGCAAAGAAAAAGTTCTTAGATCTCTCGGTCCAATCAACAGGCTTGAAAAATTTGTTGTGCAAAAAATTCCAATCTATTTCTAATACCTATTTCTATGTAGATTAACTCGATTACTCTTCATTTTTTAATTCTTAGAACTGAAAAAAGATAAAT